CATAGGTGGATCAAGTACAACTTTGAAGTCCCCGTGAACCGGAAGTTGCAAACGACTTTTCTCCAGTGTTGTGACGTATTTCCGAGAGAAACGGAATACTAAATGAGGAAAAATAGTGGGCGTGGCTTTTTTCCAACTAGCACCTGATTGGATCTAGAAAAGTAGGTGTTTTCATTCCGCCTGTCTACTGTCAGTTGGAGGGGCGTGGTTACGGATGTTAAGCAGACGCCCAAACCGTCAAACCTACATCATCAGGGAAGGTCCTCCAATGCAGAGGGGAGGGGAAATTTCAGATTTTGATTAAAGATTACGAAGTCAAAAAAAAATTTTGTGTGGATTGACTTACATGGATGAATTGTTCACCACAAAACGATCAATTTAGGGAAACAAAAAGTAAGTATGGTCAATTTTGAATTCATGGGGACTTTAAACACGTTTTTTTTGTTGTTGTTGTATAAACTTAACTGTATTAATGTAAACTCCCCAACAAAACTGCCTTAAATTATTTTTATTTTTATGAATTCTCTCTTCAAAACTATCATTTAATACTGTCATATTTTTAAATGAGTCCTGACTGACTTTCAAGCCTATACAGAACAGGCACTGAAGTCTCATCCAGTCTATAAACCTGATTTCACTCGGGAGCAACATCTTCAAACTGTGCTGTGCCGATGAACCAAACGCTTGAGGATGAAACGCCCAGGCTAAAGAGGAACAATGGCTCAACAACTCCGGCCAGAAACACGAGGTCTGGCCGTAAAGATGAACCCTACATCCCATGACACAAAATGCACAGAAAGTGTGTGAATTTATCAAACATGGTGCCTTTCTATCAAAATGTCCACTTATTTTCTTCATGTAGGTAACAACATTGTATGCAAATGTTTCTCTCAATCTAAACTTGACATAAATGCATGTCAGTATCATAAATGCCATGTAATGCCTTTAGTCTTTTTGTTTGTTTGTGTGTGTGAAGACATTTTAGCCGGTTTCCTCAAGCCGTCCTGTTGTCCAGTTCTACGTGTGCACAAGATACAGGCCAATTTAGTATTATGGGCCACAACCATAAAAATGCATCAGCCTATATCTGCCCAATGATAAGGAAACAGATATGCATATAAACAAGTGATTTGGAAGCATTGAAGGATTTATAAGCAAGACACATTTTATTATTACAGTTATTAGAGGGGGGAACACACATTTTGTTTATTACACCAAATTGTGGCCAATTCACAATGTATTTAATACACAGACTCATTCACCTTTTTATTGTTTAGTCAAGTTATTATTTGTTGAAATTTGATTGGCTGCTGGTGGCTTTTTTGTTGATATCTTCCAACTGGTTTTTCATGGCTTGGTTGACACTTGCCCTAAAGAAGATAGATATACATCGCTATACATCTTCCACTCATTCCTTTACTGTACTGGTAATCACTTATTTTGTGACGTTATGCTATATTGTATATGCTCCTTCTGCAATCCTTAGTTGGACTAGCACTTCAATGGACAATCGTTCTTGGGTAGATCTGGATTTAAAGGGACAAACTGGGATGGTTGGGTGGGTTGGGGGGGGGGGGTATTTTTCATATTGATTAATATCGGTTTAACACAGCCATAATATGTTTGTGTACATTTGGTCCAATATGTGCTGTAGAAAATGCTACATGGTTTAACAGAAATTCAATAAAAAGAGAAAAACTTTCTTTGAACATCTGTCGCGGACAGTGTCAGGGTTTTAACTGTAGTGCCATCCATGGGCAGAATTAGACAAAATTTGGCATGCATCCTCAGAATGTCCTGCTGTACATGTGTATGAAGTTTCATTAAGATCGGACAATGCGTCAAACAAATATAAGATAATTAAATAGGTGACGCCACTGTCACCTGCCCGAATTTACTTCACTATATTACTATTAAATCCTAATCTAGTCATGACAAACTATAGATCGTTGGAAAGGTCTAAGTCTGCTAAATAGATATTTGACTGCTGTTTTTTGCTACAAATTATGTAAGAAGAGTAACCGATGAATTTTTGACAAGAGTGCGCCTCAAAAAAATCTGCATCATAACAGGAGTTCTGACCTTTGTCACAAAAAGTTGACGCACACACCTTTAATAATTGAAACTTTGGGTTTTCATGCTAAAAGTTCATAATAAAACATATAATCTAGTATTTTTCAATAAAAAATTATAATATAATATTATCCTCTAAAAATTATAATATATATATATATTATCCTCTAAAATATAATATATTTTTATCGCCTTTTTATTACATCACATATTTTAGTAGTTATCATAAATTAGGTATCATTTGAAAGCTTACAAACTCAGAATTCATCCTGTGAAAACCATTTTATAATTGAACGTTGCGTTACCATAGAAACGGTACTCTAAATTATTTTATCAGGCTCCTCCCCTTTTGGGCATCATTATATTTCATAATTTATGATCAAAACCTTTTCTAATCTTGACAAAACACATATTGTCAGAAAGGTCTGTGTCTCAAGGTTCCATATTTTGTGACAGAATTGATATTTGGACAGAAATGTATTAATTTGATAAGGCAGAATGTTTACAACTAAATTCAATGGAATTCAATGTCACCCGGTGGCTATTTTTGGTACTACGCCTAAACAAAATCTCATGGGAACTTCAATTTTTGTGATATCAACTTCAAATTTGGAACATAACTTGGTTAGATATATGGCTTTGATTTTATAGTAATTTTAGAGTAGAAAATATTTTGTAAAATATATATTTTATATAAAATAAAAGATATATAGTACAGTATATTTGATTTACTGTAAATTTAAACTTCCATAACTTTTTCATACTTTCATTTTTTGAAGTGTTTTCACTTCAGCAATAATCTGCTGAGTGTTTTCTTTAAAACAAGACCAAACTTGGGTATATATTCCAAAGCATTCTTGAATTACAACCATTTAAGTTTGAATAGTGCATTTTAACCCCCATTCTCAAAAAGGGGGGTGACAGCTAAAGGGTTAAATCTCCGCATTGATCTTTGAAAAAACTTGAAAATTATTTTGATAACATTACATAGTTTGAGAATTCTGAACAAAAAGCAAATATTTTAATAATTATTCATATTTTATGCATTATACAGCCACCTAGTGTCGAACACATCCCAGCTAATTTGAGATCTCTACGACTTGGCTGTTTTCAGACGTAGCCCAGACTTTTTTTAGGGCAATAGTAAAATAATTAGCAAAACTGTACAAAAATACCTAATTGGAGATTCCTGGAGTGGATTGCCATTTGTATTAGGGCTGCACAATATATCGAAATATCGCACATGTATATATGCATATCGCAACGGTTTGCAATAACGGGTCATGAACTGAAGACTCGCTGCTCTCGGCTGAATAACTTCTGTAGCTTTAATAAGAATCAGGATATATTTAAATCATACAGTGAAAACTAAGCAGTGTTTTATTGTTACATTTTGATTATTCAGTTTCTGTTGTTAAATAACCCTAATGTAGGATAACCTGAACCCTGATGTTAAATAACTCTTCTTATGCGAGAGTAAAACACGGATGTTCACTTCAAGAGCTGGAGGGATGTTTTCTGGTCACAAAAAGAATGAGAAACACGTATGTAGGTACATAATTGTAAATATATTTTAAAGATAATTTAAGTTTATTACACACTTAAAGCATTATCGTATCGCACTTTTCTTCAATATCGTCCAGCCCTAATTTGAATGTCATACAAAAAAAATGTATAATTAGTTTTACTCTAAGCTTTACTCTACATGACCAAACACTTACACACAAACTACACGAAACCGCATGAAAATTTCTTTCCAGACAACAAGATGACGACAGTGAACAGGTTTTAAGATAGAATTCAAAACCTTTATTACAAAAATAAGTTACACTCACCTCATTTTACAGTATAAAACAATTTATTTGCTGGAATGCAAAAACATTGTTGGCCACCAACAATAGTTTAAAACTGCTCACATCTTTTCAAAAGGTTGCAATGTTACAGCTTTATCGAGAGGGAGTTAACTGTGTACAAAACCGGTTGAATGGTTCGGTCACCTGCTTGCTATATATGGAATATAAACTGAAGCTGCAGTGTCCCTTTTCCTTCAGAAACAAGTTCATCATCTCATGCCTGTGATCGCAGCCACTGAAAATATTGATCGCTTTGACAATAGTCATGATTGATTATAAAACCTACATAATTCATTCGCGAGAACTGCCCGGGAAAAAAAAAAGGACACTGCAGGGCTTAGCAAATGCAGCGGGTGCATTTGTGATGTTTAAGCCAATACAAAAGTAACATTTTATTCCAAACTATCATACAATCATACACCCAGTAACTACATAATCTGAAGAAGCAAGGCAGCTAATTCAGTTGAAAGGAGGATAAAAGCAGGGCTTGTTCCAGCTCATCATATGAGATTCATTTGCATGCCCAGTTTTACTGTTCGCAATGTCAGAGCAGCAGCGGATTGACTATATTACATTAAGAATATCTTCTGAGCTGCTGCTCTTGTGCATATTTCATACGAAACAAGCCCTGCTCCTACGCTTTTTTTGTTTTTAAGTGTCCCTATTTACAGTACAGGCAGGGTAGTTGAATCCTCTCTACTGAGGTAGTTAACCGACCCTTAAAAAGACAAGTTCTGAAAAGAACCACGTTCCTGGAATGCCTGACTTGTCCATGTGAGGTGGTTACACCAAAAAAAAAACCCACGCCACCGCAGATGTTCTCTACCAGAATCCAAACGTTTTAGGTTAACATGGACACTCCCACAAAGAAAATTGTAGTTAGCACAAAAATATACATCAGCATCAAGCTCCTTTGAGCCACTTCAAACGCAGGAGTAGAAAAGAAAAAGTGCAAAACACATCTGACGTATTGGTATCCTTGAGAGTCTGAACTTCAGTCCCAAAATGTGGCATGCTTAGGCGTCGACTATATGTAACCGGGGGCTGGGGGGGGCAATTGCGAGTTCATTTATTTAGACGGGCTCCGAATGTGAAAACGGCAAGTTGGGGATTTTTTGTTGGGAGTGGCAGTACTGGAGATATGCTTCAATACAGGCTGGAATATCATTGAGTTTGCTTTAACCTTATGAACACTGGTAGCATCCGGTGTAACCCCATACAACAAGTCAGTCTTCATACTACCTGGTCAGGACCAGCCTCGACCCCCTTTCCCTGGTGGAACAAAAGACACGCATGCTTTATTTATGCAAACACAAGGAACGGTATATGATTAGTCCGGTTCATGCAGGACCTTCACAACTAAAGCACAGGAGATGGTTATCCAAACTCTCGGAAAAACACAGTTACCGGAGCATTATAAAAGGAACATTATCTGAACATACACTTTATTTTACAGTGTCCTTGTTACATATGTTACATGTACAACCATGCATAATTACATGCAACTAACCCTCAACCTAATCCTACCCTAACCCTATAGTCAGTAGGGCTGTCACTTTTATGAGTAAATCCTGTTTGATTTTTGAGTCGTAAGTGTTCATTGAATCGATTGTAAAATCTAAAGACGTTTCCATTTTCAACACCAAATATAGGCAAATCCACGGACACCTAACAGGCATTAGGACGAGCGTAAAGAGGGCGCTGGAGACGCACAAGTCAGCAATATTCCTGATGATTTATTGGCGTGAAGTTTCAGCACAATGACAAACAGGAGCGCAACATTCAGGGATTGAGATTAACACCTCGACCCGCCAAATGCGGGTACAAATGAACTTTGGCGGGAAACGCTGTCAAATCACGAGCCAATCTGGCGTGTTTCTGTGTTTACTCACTTTGCTGGGGAAGTTCGTGTAAGACAAATCTGAGCGGATTTAGCGCAAATACGCAATTCGTGATCCTCATGATATATTAAATACAGCGTATTGCAGAATCTGCGCATTTCTGGCTTACTTGAACACACACACACACACACACGTCACTACGCAACACATAACGGCGCGCTTGTTCACTTGCATTGAAGTAATAGCGAATATTAAAAAGCATTTGGTGAACAGAAAAGACATTGTTATTGTCCAGCATCCCACATGTTCTGTGTGCTGTATTGATCTGTCCACCTAAAACACATTTTTGGTTAAAAAGCCGTTAAAATCGATTCCCTATTTTCGTTTTCGACACATGTGTTGGTTGGTCCGATCGATTGTGCAATCGATTTTCGAATGTAAAGTGACAGCCCTAATAGTAAGTACATGTAGTTGCTTAATATTACTCAGTACTTAAATGTATAATTACACTGTAACAATGACACCATAAAATGAAGTGTAAGCCAATATCTGTGTTGATATGAACCGTGTGCTAACGCAGCTCAGCTCAGTTGCAGGACCTGTTACTCTTACAATTAAAGCATTACATTTAAGATGCATTACAGGCAAGATTATTTACAATATATTGGCAATGAATTTTGCTCATAAAGACTCAATCTTTAGACTAGTTTAACAACCATCCTTGTCTTTGAGCGTACGAGTGTGTTAATACAGGCGTTTCAAAAGCCTCTGATTTAAACTTCAGTAGCAACAACAGTTTGTAAGTTTGATTTGCTTTTGTTTAAATGGTTAATTTACATGATGATTCTTCCATTTGTTTAAGTAAAAACATGCAGGGTTGGTTTTTAACTTGATTTTTAGTGTTTTACTTTTGCTTTGGGAGAAGCTACTTTGCTGAAATGGTTCTTAAGGAAAAGCAGCCAAAGCCATTTCAGAGCAAATTCTAGTGATTTAGCCGAAAAACCAAAAATAACGTTACTTAATCAATCAATTAATCAAGTTTATTTAATAAACACTCAAAAAAAAAAAACATTCACAAGGCAGTTTTTTTTTATACAACTTTTTGGTTTAATTATGTTTCTACTCCATTTTGTTGAAATATAAACATTTAAACGGTGTGCTCATCAAAACGAACGACAAATCGATATCATCAACCCTTTAAAACCATTTCAGCTGAAACCGAAAGTTCATTTTCAGCCAAATTTGTTTAGCTTAATTGCATAATTAGCGCAAAATAAAAAGATATAAAAAAGCCAAAGAACAATGATGTTTTAGCGATACTGCCCAGTCCTCATTACTCGAGCACTTGAAGACGATGCGCATATGCAGCAGACTAACACAAACCAGTGTACTCAAGTGCTGTAGGTCAAATTTCCATAAATGAAAGGAAAGTGCAAACCTTTGGTCCGTTTCGTCCACAAGGTGCCTTGCATATGTAAGCAATATGAAAAGGAGGGGAAGCAAAAACAAACGCCAAAACATGTGTTTTGATCACTACGTCCTTTGCCATGATAAAGTCTACTTTAAAAAGACTAAAAAAAAAGATAGTCTAGCCTACAGGGTTTCAAAACCTCCTGCCAACACTGCAGGAGTGCTCCACCCACACATCACGTACCACTCGACATCTCTGCTGGACTCCTCGGGACCCTCGGGCTCGGCTGGAGCCCAGGCCCGGGCGCGGGGAGAAGCCGGCCCGTCCTCGGGGGGCGCTCGAGCCCCGGCCTCGGGACAGTGTGGGGCCGCGGGATCCTCTGTTGCCTCTTCCTCTGACGTGAGCTTGAAAGTCATCGTAGCCGTAGTAGGGATCGTCGTATCCGCCTCGGTAGTTGTGATAGTCATAGCCATAGTAATCGTAATAATCTTCATAGCTGTAATAGTCATGAGGATACGAATAACCTCGAGCGCCTCGGCCTCTCACTCTCGTTGGGGCATGCATGTGCGGTGGGCCGTAGTAATAATATTCATCATACCTGGGGGGAAAAATGCACATGTTTACAAACTAAACATAATTCAGTCTTCTATTATGCCCTTTTACAAAGTCTTGATGTTGTTTTGGGGGTTTTCCTGCTTGAATGTTGATTATTCTCCTCATATTCTCCATTGTTGCGGCTCCTCTCTTCCCAGTCTGTCAGTAACGCTCTGTTTACTTCCTGTCTCTATGAAGCCCCTCCTTCTGTAAGCACACTGTGCTCTGATTGGTTGGCTGGATCAGTGTGTTGTGATTGGTCGAGCGCTTCGAGTGTGTTTGGGAAATGTCCCGCTCTAACCATAACCACCAGTTTAACACACTACTAACTAACTCAACCAGGCCCCGCCCCTTTATTCTGCGTATTAATTATGTAAATGAGGAATATTGTGACCCGGAAGAAACTCAAGACTACAATGGAGGCGTTTCAGGAGTTCAGAAACACTGATATAGAGAATATAGAGAACATATAGATAGTTACGCAACAAGTCCTGTTTTCCTGAATACCGTCATGATTGAAAACGAGACCCTGATTTCATTCGACAGTTCAATAAAAAAGTAGTTAATATTAAGTCACTTACATTTTAGATGCGATATTGATTGTTTTTGTTCCGTTTCAGCTCTCACAGAAACACTCAGCCGTGTGTCGTCACTGAATGATTCAGTTAAATTACCCATTAATAAATGATAACGATAACAAATCGGGCGTTTGAATGAATGATTCAATGACTCACTAATTAAAACGCTCATTTAATCATTGATCAACGTTTATAGCTTAAAAGCTTTATCATATTATAAAGTGATCTCTTTAGAAGGCATTTCTGACGGTCTAGACTTTCAATAGAGAAAAAATAATATGACAGTATATGCAGCGTTTTTTTTAATCGAATATCGATACATCTTGTTGTGTGTCCCTGGCTTTAGTCGTATGGACTTTTGTTCTGATACTTTAAAGTCACTGTCATTTATAGACCTTGAGCTGCCATGTTTCTCCATGTGTGTTCAGGGGAGGTTAGTTACGACACAACGCTTATGAACGGCTACAAACAGTCTTACATTTGAGTTTTAGCAGCTTGTCTCTGGGCCTTTCGCTCTTTCCTCTTCTGATCAGGCGGCTTCGCAAAGACGATTTCAATTTGTTCCCCTTCCAAATCCTTCCCATGCATTTCAGCAAGAGCCTGTGGAAAAACACTGGGTAAAACCTGTGCATAAATCACCAACAGCCTCTAAAGCGAAGCAGAGGAAGAGACGCTTACCTTAACAGCGCCGTCTCTCTCCTCAAAGTGGATGAAGGCGTAGTCTTTAAGCTTTTTAACCCTTTCCAGTTTGCCGAACTGACAGAACGTCTTCTCGAGATGCTCTTCCGTTACTGTGCTTGCCAGGTTTCTTACAAAAAGGACTTTGACCTAAACGATACAAGCGAGATAGATGTCAGTATAATTAGGCCAGGCTCTGAGACGTGACTCTTGAGGAGAAACAAGGGAATCACAGGAAACTACAAATATTCTGCATTAAGAAAAAGCCAATTTAAGACCATCCAATCTAACATTTACATGATAATTAAAGACATTCCCTTCAAATTATTAAAAACTCACTTTCATTGCTGTAATGCGCCCAAAGTCATGTTTTATTATTTCTCATTCGCAGTTATTCTCATTAACGTAATGCAAAGTTTGATTAATTTAATATTCAAAGACTTGTTTAAAAGTGTATTTATTGAGTAATTATGGTATGGTATACTTCGTTAGTCATTAGCCTGCTAGTTTCGGCCTTTATCACTTTCCAGTCGTGTCTGTATTACCTGGGCTTGTGAGAAAGACTGCAGATTTTAAAGCGCAAGTATGGAGAAACCGGTGCTATGCATTCATTACTGGGTTCTTGATGACTATAACTATGCTTCATATTTACTTATTAGTGCATTATGCATTAAAAAGAATGTGAGAGAATTATAAAGTAAAAACTGACATGATAGGTTCTAAATCATGATTTTTAACCATGATATTAATTTTGTTTTTATACGATTCTAAAATCGATTTTTTATTCCAGAATCGATATTAATTCAAATGAAATTGCTTTATTGTTGTCCTTGCTTGTAGACGAGGTTGACAGAAGTTAGCCTCTTTCGTTCCAACAGAGGATGAAGTGTGTGTGTGTGTGTTGAGTGTCGTAATATCCCAAGTGTGTGTGTGTGTGTGTGTGTGTGTGTGTGTGTGTGTGTGTGTGTGTGTGTGTGTGTGTGTGTGTGTTGAGTGTCGTAATATCCGAAGTGTGTGTGTGTGGAAGAGACGTGAGGCTGAACGCACTGAAAGCCCTCGCTCTACACATATACTGAGAGAGAGATAAGACAGTAGAGCTGCACGATTCATCTTTAAAAGACTGTGATCTCCATTCAAACACACACGCCATCTTCCAGTTCATCTGTCTATTAAACTTTGACAAAATCATATCGCAACATTCAAAGCTGTGTTGGCGCTGACCCGGAGAGAGTCGTCATGAAACCGCTTCACAAACACTCTTTTCAACCTCATAGTCTCATTATTTCTGTGGCGCAATAGTTCAACTTATCATAGAAGGACTGGGATAAAAGTTTAAAGTTCAAATATGAACACTGATGTCTGCGATATCAATCAAAATAGAGTAAATCAGCTTTTGATAGAAACTTGGTGCGTAAAATAACGCATTTATCGATTACATTGTTTCGCCACTAGGTGACTGATTAAAAAATTGTATTTGATATTGAATCATTTATTCAAGAGATGTAGTATTGTGTGATGCTTCTGAAATAAAACTCTGAAAGATGTGATGATTTGTTTTTGTAAATATGACTCATCTTATACATCATGTTCGGTCTGTATAAGTGTGAGATTTAACTTTTTCCAATGGTTTAGTGTTAAAAAAAAAAAAAAAAAAATCGCAATATATTGCAATATCGAATTGCAATACTTAAAAAAAAAAAAAAAATCACAATACATATCGTATCGGCGATACCCAAGTATCGTGATAGCATGGGATTGGGAGATGGGTGTATCGCCCCAGAACTAAAACACACCGTACCTTGGCCATGACTTCGGGATCGGGGTCTTCTATGGGATCGGCCCATTCCACCGTCACCACGTTCCCCCAAACCTTCACTTTGCCGCTCATTAGCCTGCGCCGCGCCTGGGCCGCCGTCTTATGGTCCTCGTACTCCAGGAAGCAGAAGCCTCGGTTCTTCTTCTTGTCATCGGGCTGGTGGTATAAGATGACGTCGTTCAAGCCCTCTGTTGGGATTGAGGATGGGAAATTAGTTCCTGGAAAACTGAAGCTCGTTTTGGCAAATCAAATCCATCACACTTCAATACTCAACTCTTCAGTTCACTATAAAAATAAATAAATAAAAACACTCTAAGGACGCAAACATGCTTTAAAACAATTCCACAAACACACAGGGGGAATTCTTGACCAAGTCATCGCAGACATGCTGCAGTTTGAGTGGCAAACCTCGGGTTCAAGAGGGACACGGAGCGTCCTTCACATGTCTGTGCCAATAAACAGGACACACACACACACACACAAGCATGAAACATGCACCAGTAGCATCAGCTAATGCCCTGTTTTTCTAGATTTATTAGCATTATGATTGTTTTAACTTTTGAAAATAAGGAAGAAAAAAAACACTATTGTTTTTTAATACACTTTTATAGTAAAGCTTATTACAATAATAATACGTATTGTGTTTAATATTTTAATTTAGTATTATTATATAGTCATATAGATAGAAGACAAATTGTGCAGTCCAACAAACAAAACTGGTGTTCCTTATAAAATAAATAAATAAAAAATAAAATTTTAAACCACTTTGATTTTTTCCCTTTTTTACTCGCCTGATCGCTCATGCATGTACACAATTTTTCGTTTTATGGAATACATACTTGCGCTGTTATGCACATACAGAACATAAAGTTGAGCTTGAGTCACTAGCAGTGTTTGCGTTCACATACCCATGTAAAGATGGATCGTAAAGTCCACATGAAAACACAAACCAGTTTTGCTTTTATCTATGTGATATGCGTGCGTTGCATATTAGAGGTTTGCTGATTTTAAACTGATTAATTTTTACAATTAAAAGTGCTAAATCTGTCTGAGAACCTATTAATCAGCCAATGGTTTTTAAAAACAATAATATGAACAAAAGCTTTCCACTTAATGTGAATAGAACTGAATCTTTTTAGAATTTACCAGTAATTTCATATTATTAAATTAAATAAATTTGACAAAAATAGCTATGCTTCATTACCATTTTATTATTATCATGTGAACTATATACAAATGATGTACAGCAAAGCGAGAAATACAAAAAAGGATAAAAATAAAATCAATCTGGTCTTTTAATTAAACGGCATTGTGTATATTAATATATCCACATGCTTTCATATGAATGTTATACCATGCTCGTGTTTTAGACACACTCACGTTTCTTTTGCACATAACTATTTCTATTCTGTTAGAAGAGAGTAAAGTTTGGAAACTGTGTACATGCACTCGAACAGAATACGAGCGCACAACGAAAACTCGGGCATTTTTCACATTTACATGATTGATATTAACACGAAAATATGATTAACTTAAGATCTACATAACAAATAACAATAACAAACTGGACCACCCTAGAGAGTGGCTGATGGGATCTGCATGAAGCACAAGCGACATCTTTGTTATTCAACAGTGAATTGTAAAGGAATTAAGATGAAAGCTAAGCACTTTCCCTCCTGGACTTCGTAACATTGTTGCTAGAACCAGGGCCGGATTAACCATTAGGGCAACTGGGCACTTGCCCAGGGGCCCACGACATCTAAGGGGCCCTGGGCACCAGGGGCGGAGTGGCAATCGGGAGAGTCGGGAGTTTCCCCGGTGGGCCGGTAGTGTTTCGAGGCTGCGAGGGCCGGTCTGATAAAATGTATTCATTGCAAGTTCGCACTTTTGGCCAAAGCGAGGGGAAGAAAAAAAATATTTTAGATAACGGAGCGTATATTTGCACTAAGTGCCTGTCTTTTTAGCAAAAAGACGCCCATCACGGAATAGCTACAGTGGCGTAGGTCGTAACGCGTGAAGTGCTTGAAAGCAGCTTTTGATGAGTTCGAACCCGCCTTTTGCCGAACTCTCTCTTCTCCCTTTTCCCAACACATATGTAAAGATGTAAAATGTATAACCTAACATAAAGGTCTCTAGCGTTATATTTGGCCAACGAACTAAAATCGAAACCATGATATGGCTTTGTGCCTTTATAAAACAGCACAAGACTTTAAGATTAGGCATCCTGTTTGTGCTGGGTGATTTAAAGAAAAGTGTGCACTTTGCTCACGCGATCAGCATGGTTATCTGGTGTTTTCTCCTAAATAAAAGCTCAAGAGTTTATTTCTTGCAAGTGAAGAAATTCGGACAAAAGTATTTAAATTTTCCTGTATTATAGTGTAATGTAGACTAAAATATACTTTTGAAATATTCATTTTCATTTATAGTACATTTATAGGCTATATTATGGATTTTACGTCATAGGAATTATTATATAAATCATTATTACATTATTATAATAATTGTTTGGCATCCTAAAATACCATTGATAATGTAATGTAGACTGAGACTCTCATAACTAAAAAGATGTCCTTGGACAAAATATACATTTGGCCCTAAGGGGGGGGGGGGGGGGGGCTACAAGACATTGTGCCCAGGGGCCTCTGAACTCTTAATCCGGCCCTGGCTAGAACCCTCCAGTGCAAATACAAAAAATATTACAAACCATCAGTGTTGATTTTCCGGTACAATAAGGTTCATTAGTTAGTGTATTAACTAACATGAACTAACCATGAGCAATACATGTGTTACAGTATTTATTGATCTTTGTTAACGTTAGCTGATAAAAATACAGCGGTTCATTGTTTGCTCATGTTAGTTCACAGTGCATTAACTAATGTTAACGAATACAACCTTTGACTTTAATAATGCATTAGTAAATGTTGAAACTAATATTAACTAAGATTAATAAATGCTGTAGAAGTATTGTTCATTCTTAGTTCATGTTAAAGGGCTAGTTCACCTAAAAATGAAAATGATGTCATTAATGATCCACAACAGAACCGGAAGACAATACAATGCTGAATAAAGTCCTAGTTTTTGTTATTTTTGGACCAAAATGTATTTTCGATGCTTCAACACATTCTAACTAACCCACTGATGTCACATGGACTACTTTGATGATGTCTTTATTTCCTTTCTGGACAAGGACAGTATACCGTACACACATTTACAATGGAGGGACAGAAAGCTCTCGGACTAAATCTAAAATATCTTAAACTGTGTCCCGAAGATGAACGGAGGTCTTACGGGCTTGGGACGACATAGTTAATTAATGAACCTTATAGTAAAGTGTTCCAGATTGTCCTGATAATGTGTAAAACCGACATGTCAGTCAATCTCTAATGTTAGTTAACACTAAAACTTACCAGTAACTTTGGCAAACTCCTCCACGATCTGGTCCTTAGTTTTGCTCTTAGGGATGGATCCCACAAAAAGACGGTTATTGGCAACGGAGATGCATACGCCGATGTGTTTACCAGGGCGAATTTCGTTGTTGTTACACTGCAAGAAATATTACAATCAGAATCCAGACTAGAGCCCACAGTGAAGACTAGGGGTGGAACAGTATATCGCAATACAAAAATGAAACAATATGTATCGTGTATAGTCCACCCAAAATACAAATTACTGTGTGAGAAAAAAGTTTTAGTGTCAGTACTACATTAAACTAATATATATAATGTATAATAATGCAGTGGGGGAATATGTGTGGGTCCTGATAATGCCAGATGTCTGATGTTACCAGTAAAAAGTGGCCTACATTATTTTAAATATATCTAGCCAGTGACAGAGATCAAGCATATTCATCTACAATAATTCAGTTTTCAGCTTCAGAATCATGAATATTGTTATTCTGGTGTCTCTGTTGTCCTGTGCTTTGGGTTTCCAGCACCAAGTCCAAGCCCAAGACTATTCATTTACACACACAATGCAACACCAAATTTAGCATTTCAATCAACAGTTCATTTTTTGTTAACCTTCTATCATATGTCTTGGAGTATCGCAATAATATCGTATGGTGAGTTCAGTATGGTGGTAAAGACAGTCACTCACTAGCTTGACGGCTTCTTGCGCCGCCTCTTTAGTGCAGAAGGTGACGAAGGCGTATCCGCGGTTCAGGCCGCTGAGCGGGTCCATCATCAGGCGCAGGTCCCAGATCGGCCCCGCTTTCTCGAACAGGGGCACCAGCTCATCTTCAAACAGATCCCGCGGGATCTTTCCCACAAAAATCTGTGAACATTTGAAGAGACATTAGCCATCATAAAAAGATTGAAAACATAATACATGGTAATAGATGGTACAGAAGCGCTCCGTCAGTTGGTTCGGGCTGGGCAGAATTTTTAATTTTTTGATTAATCGTTGTTTAAAGTAGACAAGTGTGATCAACGGTGCAATTTTTTTTCATATTTTACTCAATATTGCCAAAATTATTAACAAATAATGCATTTTTCACTCAAAAACTGAAGTGCATAAGCTCGGATAAATGACTCCTACAATTAAACCGTTTGAAAATTAAATATAAAACCAGTCCTAATTGAAAGAGAACAAGTTGACAAAAAGATTGAATCCAAGATTGGGTGAAAATATGGTATAATGAGTGATTTATAAGCTATTTTTTATAGGCCGGTCATTTTGACCTGGGAAGACCACAAGTGTGACTATGTGCCATTTTTTACAAAATAAAAGTTTTTCAAAAAAAAACTTCCTGATGAAACATTAAAGTAGACTAGTCTGATCAACACTGCCGACTTTTTAAAATATTTTATTTAATATTTCCAAAATTATTCAAAAATAATGTTTGTTTTTTTTACAAATAAAATGAGATGCCTACTCTTAGATAAATGAGGCCCACGATTAATCAGATGCAAATAGAAATATAAAACCAGTCCTAATTGAAAGAGAACAAGTTGACAAAAAGATTGAATCCAAGATTGGGTGAAAATATGGTATAATGAGTGATTTATAAGCCAAGACCACAGGTGTTGTAGGGTTTTGAACACCAAATGAGGGTTAAAATGTGGTTGATTCAAAATCAATTGTCAAACGCCACGAATCGATTTTTTCCCATATTTATTTATCTATCACCCAAAGCAAGTATTAGCAGTTCATAGGCTTGAGCCTCCATGATACAGATAATGCTGTGAGATTTAATGTGCGTTTTATCTTCATCATAAAATAGCCTGATCCTGTTTGATCAATGCATGCGACGGATCTGGCTTCTCCAATTTTCAGCATCAATTTTTCATCTTGCATCAAAATCCTGTCTATGCATTTGAAATATAGAGTTGGGTTCTGGGTGTCGAAATCGAATCGAGAATCGAAATCGAATCGAAACATCTGAATCGACACCCAGCCCTACATTTGCTCTTGCTGAAATAAACACCATTCACAGCAGATTTCCTAGCAATGGGAAGTTTAGAAACTCGAGGGATTGTGCATGACTACTTCTACAACTAGGGCTGGCATGATTTCTGGAATAAATTCGAGGACTCGATTTTAAAAGATCCTCGATTGAAATTCACCCGTGTCGAGTAACCGGCAAAATACCAGAAGCGTCCAATTCCACGGACAAGAATCCATGAACTGCATTAGTAGACCGTTTTCTACGGCTGCACTATTTATTTAAACCATTTAAAAACCACACTATAGCATAGTGCTATTGTGAATTCACAAAGGCTACGATTCAATTAAATAAATAATGCCCTGTGTGTTTAACATTACGTCACGTGTGTTCACAGTAAATGCTGCTGCACATGAACTGTTCTCATTTATTTATTATAACGTTCATCCGAGAACGCAATGTGCGCCATTTCACCAGATTTATAACATAAATCATCTATAAACCTACGGGGACACCAATATGTTCCTAAATATGCAAACTGTTGTTCATCGTGATTTCAAAATAAAAGTCTCCTGCTGGCGCCCTCTTACCAGGGCCCGGTTTCACAAAGCTATTTTAGACCGTGGCGTGTGTTATAGTGTTAGACAAGTCTAAAATTTGCTCATAGACTAGTCTAATGGAAGTTAGACTGTTTCACAAAAATAAAGGCTGACTTAATTTAGACCAAAAGAATTAGACACCCCCAGGCTAACTTAGGTCTGAGACTCTGTTACCTTGGGAACCAACAGTAACAATCAGTTACATTACAAACAGTCCACCATATATATTCACCCTTTCAGTGTCTTTAAGTTTCTCTTGGGGTCCTCCTCCTGTTTGGATATTTCCTCTTAAATATTAATTTTTTTGGCATCTTGTACCGTGTTTTTGTATCTTATCTGTACGTCTTTAACGCTCCGCTCAACGCTCGGATTAACGCTGTTAACTGTTAATCTTTGTCCAAATTAAACATGTCTTCTTGTTTCTACATTCTCCGCTAAATTTCCCCAGTAAAATGTCCTTGTAACTGTTACACTCCTCCAACACACACATATCTCCCGCTGGGGTAAACTGCGCCGAGCGGTTGAATGCGCTTACTCCATCCGCCATGTTTTTTTGTTTTGAAAAGTGTCTTATTTTACCCAGAATGCATTGCAGTGTAGTCCTACTTAAGATAGTCAGAGTCTCCAGTGCTTTGTGCAACGGTCTGATTTAGACGTCTATCTGAAGTCTGACTATCTACTATATCTAAGCCATAGTCAAAGTCTGTCTTGGTGAAACCGGCCCCAGGTGTAAAGGGGAGTCGATTGGATGAATCCGCTCTGAGAAGCGCATGAAGTGGCCAGGTGTAAACCGTTTCTGGACTACGAGAGCACTGACCTCGGTGCCGACGGTGGGCTGGACCCCGGCATGGGTCGACCCGGGCGGAGGACCCCCGTACTTGCGCTGGCCTGTCGTCACATCAAGCGTGTAGCCGGTTCTCTCCAGCAAAGCCTGCAGAGGAAGCAAACAACACACTCGAGCGTGAGACCGGTCCTGAAGTCACTGTTCCAGCAGAAAGAGGAAGATCAATGAACAAGCGATCGATGGGCTGAGTAAACTTGCCTTGATTTTGGCCTCGTCGGGTCCTTTAGTGGAGTCTGACACTTTGGTCCCCTGTTTCTCCCTCTGCCTGTATGTCTTCATCACGCCACAGAGGAACGCACTTTTATTCTGTTCAAAACATGAGCAATAGGTGAGCAGGAGTGTGTTTGTGTGCCTACAAGTGCATGGGAGTCGGGGAATATTAATTTAGTTTTAGTCTAAAATGCCATTTAGTTTTGGTCATATTTTAGTCATCTGAATTGTTTTAGTTTCAGTCGACGGAATACAATAAGATTTTAGTCGACTAAATCTACAGTAATTTAGTCAACTAAAATATAATGGGTTTAGTTCAATTGTAATGCATTAATTTCTCCTATTTATACTTCCAGAGAATATATCTATTAACCTATCCACAGTATTCCTACGCCCCATGACGCTTTGCGCGAATTATGGGTGTAACTTCCGTTAAGATGTAAACCATCAGTGAAAGACTAAGCTCTATGGACGCAATAATAGATTTTTAAACCTTTTACGATGACATTACATTATTCTACTCACCCTTCAACCATTGAACATTAAAAGGACATTTAAAAGTGTAAAAGCATCAACAAGCTAACTTTCAACAGACCATGAATAATCTCAAAAGCATCTTTCCACAGCTAAATCAGTCGGTTAAATATCACTGTGGTAATCTGTATTATGTAACGTTGCCTTAATAAAAAAAGTGTTTTACTTCAGCATTACGTGATACTATTTTAAAGTGATTTCAGTCATTTTGACAGATAATAAATTGTATTTACATGTGAAACCAAACCTGGAAAGAGACGTGAGGATTTGGAGAGGATTCCAGTGAATTATTAATGGTATACATCGTAAATTAAATCGGGAGAACAGACCACAAATGTGCAGTATGTGTTGACCTTTGTCATACTATTACAGCGGAATTCAAAAGGAAAAAAGAAAATAATGATGAGGAAAAGAATGCAGAGCTCTTACTATGGATATTCTTGTTATAACATGTCACGTTAAAATACCAAGTGTTACGGTATTCTCATGTTATTCTTAGATAAAACATGAAAGAAAACTGATTGCTAGTTAAGTCAAACTGACGGATCAGCTTTATTTGTAGGGCAACCTTATGATTTGAAATGATTCGTTTCAGTCTTTTTGAATGGAAGTTCCCCAAACCGGAAGTGCCGCCCATAATTCAAAACGCAGTAAGCTTGTCAGGAATAAGGTGGATAAATATGAATGATTTTTCAAAGTTTGAACAAGCAACACAGACACAGATTTAGCTACTTTTATCAAGCGCATGCTAACTCATGTCCGCCGGATAGATCAACGCGTTATGATTCAAATGTGCGCATCTACCACAAACGCAGGGCATCAGTTCTGACTGGATCTCTTCCCAAATCATCCCAACCTCCCGTTTTTCATCTAGTTTTTATCCGTTAATGAAAATGTCAATAGATTTTCGTCATAGTTTTTGTCATTCAAAACTGGATTTTATTTAGTTATCGTCTCGTTTTCGCCTGTGGAAAAAATGGCGTTGACGAAAATAATAACGAAAATTATTCGTTAACACGGTTGTAAACAAAGTCTGTTCTGCTTTAAGTGAACGTAAACAGTTGGGTGAACATCAGGTGTGTGTCAGTATATTAGATCCGTGCATTAGATTAAAAACTGAAAATCCATCACTGCTCTCGACTGAATAACTTATGCAGACTTAACATGGATTAATCTATATTGGGTCACACTTTATTTAAAGGTGTCACTGTTACAGTGTAATTATATATTTAAGTACTGAGTAATATTAATTAACTACATGTACTTACTATAGGGTTAGGGTTTGCTTGAGGGTTAGTTGCATGTGATTATGCATACTTTACTGTTATTACTACGGTAAGTACATGTAACATATGTAACAAGGACACTGTAAAATAAAGTGTTGCCTTTAATTTATACAGTGAAGACTATGTGGTGTTATTGTACATTTGATGGGTTGAAAATATAAATTTCTCGATTTTGATCAATTCTGATTTTGATGAGCCAATATCGATTCTTCAATCCCAGGAATCGATCTCTTACTCGATGATGTGTTCAGCTGAAGTGTGCACAAAACTTCACAAAACATTAAAACCCCTAACTATCTTTAATTTATTGGTAATGTGGTGAAGTGCCGTTTACGGATAGCTCCGCCCCATTATTATTAACCGAGCGGTATCTAGAGTATACAGGCGAAACTCGAAAAATTAGAATATTGTGCAAAAGTTAATTTATTTCAACTTAAAAGGTGAAACTAATATATTATATAGACTCATTACATGCAAACTGAGATATTTCAAGCCTTTAGTTGTTATAATTTTGATGATTATGGATTACAGCTTATGAAAACCTTTTCACAATATTCTAATTTTGAATTTGGTGTTTTCATAAGCTGTTAGCCATAATCATCAAAATTATAACAAATAAAGGCTTGAAATCTCTCACTTTGCATGTAATGAGTCTATATAATATATTAGTTTCACCTTTTAGGTTGAAATAAATTAACTTTTGCACGATATTCTAATTTTTCGCGTTTCGCCTGTATAAAGGGCATCCCCAGATTCGCGTCATTATTGCATCATGGTTGCCAGTACTCCACTGCTAAGGAACCCGGTGAAATGAAAGTGTTCTGGGAACATTAAATGCCCGACTGCATTAGTTTTGCTTTCTGAAACGTACCTGAACATGCGACAGGTCGCTGTCTTTGAACTGCAGGAGAACTTGCAGCGCACCTTCTTCATTGAACTCTTTCAGAGCTTCGATCGCTCGGTCGTCGAGATCGCTGTGAGACACGAGCCCTGCACAAAAACACACACTTAATCCACTGCAATACCTCAATACATTTCACTTAAAGGATTAGTTCACTTTCAAATGAACATTTCCTGATGATTTACTCTCTCGCACGTCATCCAAGATGTTCATGTCTTTCTTTCTTCAGTGGAAAAGAAATGAAGGTTTTTGAGGAACACACTCCAGGATTTTCTCCATATAGTGACTTCAATGGGGTCCAACGGGTCGAAGGTCCAGATGTGAGTTTCAGTGCAGCTTCAAAGTCTCCACACGATCCAGCCGAGGAATAAGAGTCTGATCTAGACAAACCAGCGGACATTTATAACAAAATAAACATTTATGTACTTTTAACCACTAATGCTGGTCTTGCACGAGCTGTGATGCGACACACATTACGTCATCACGTAATGACCTTTCATCATGTTGAAAGGTCAAGCGGGACGTAGGCGGAAGTACCGTTCAAAGTTATTGTATGTTGAATGACACATATTTATATGTATTTGTGTCAGATGCTTAATGTCTTTACGTAGTGGTGCAAGACCAGCATTAGTGGTTAAAAGTATATAAATGTGTATTTTGTTATAAATGTCCGCTGGTTTGTCTAGATCAGACTCTTATTCCTCGGCTGGATCGTGTGGAGACTTTGAAGCTGCACTGAAACTCACATCTGGACCTTCGACCCGTTGGATCCCATTGAAGTCACTATATGGAGAAACCCTGGAGTGTGTTCCTCAAAAACCTTCATTTCTTTTCCACTGAAGAAAGAAAGACATGAACATCTTGGATTACTTGCGGGCGAGTAAATTATCAGGAAATGTTTATTTGAAAGTGAACTACTAATCCTTAAAGGTACAAATCAGTTGATGCTAAATTAGAAGTCATCAGTTACGCTGATATTAATAGTTACACTTCTCTACTCAAACGGTCATTGGTTCCTTCAATACTAGGCTGACCGATAAATGGTGCCGTTTGGTGAGTGTGTACGAATACCAGCCAACAATGGCATTGCATACATTCAACAGGACAAAACAGGGGCTTCAATGTATTGATTGCATAAATTATTGTAACAGTAATGCACTCTCAGGAAAAGGATACAGTCCGAACCACAGATGAAAACACACACACTCACTCACTCGCACACATAGCCTACACACACACTTGTTCAAAAATTCCTTGAGAAAAATGATGCACTGTATATCCCAAAAGAATCGATAATCAAATCTAATTTGCAAACTTATGAATAGAAACTTTGTGTCAATGCCCAGACTTAAAAATTAGGGCTGTACCATTAATCGCAATTAACATGAAATCACGCTTAAACATTAGTGGAATTATAAATCGCACAATTTTTTGATGAGAATATTGCTTCGGAATAAAAATATGTAATAATTATACAAAAATCCAACTCTTTTACTTGGACAAGCGAATGACCGAATTAATTTTGCGGAGGACAAGCACATGACAAGGCTTAATGTCGAGCCCTGCTAGTTATTAATATATAATAATGCATCAATGTTTTGGGGGAAAAAAATATGAAACATTTTTAATATTACAGTAATAGTAAACTTGTGGGAACACTTTATAAACACTTGCATAGGCCACGCAGTGTTGGCGAAATAACACATTAGCGGACCGGGATAATATAACTCAAGCACTTTCAAGGACCTGTCTCTGTGTGTGTTTAATTATTTTCAAAAACTTTCCAAGGCCTTGATTTTTTTCCCTCCTGATTCACAAACTCAAGGATTTCAAGGACCCGTGGGAACCCTGGATCATGCACTCCTAAGCCCCTTTCACACAGCGCGTTGATCCCGGGGAATGCCAGAACGCCTCCTGTGTGAGCGCAAACACGACCCGGGATCGATGCCGGATTGGGGACCGAGTAACATAGCCGTGTTCGGTCCCGGAGCGCGCGCGGTGTGAACAAAAGCCCTAATTAATGCCGTGTCGTAATGATGACGCTGAAGCCGGGATTGTCCGCTAGCTAGTGAAACATAACGTAATGCGCTAGTTTATAATCGAATCATGAGAGAAAAAATGCACAAGCTATTAGGGGTGGCACGGTTCACAAAACCCACGGTTCGGTTTGTATCACGGTTTTAGGGTCACGGTTTTCGGTTCTGTACGGTTCTTGTTGTTATTTTTTTTTTAACCCTTGTGTTCTGTTCGATTTCTGTGTACACTAGGGCTGGGCGATATGACGATATTATCGTATATCGACGATGTCTCGCAAGTATCGCGATGTCGATTTAACAGTCTGTTTCCAGACGATAATCGTCCATATCAAAAAATGACATAGGCTTATATTTCACATAGCCCTATAGTTAAACATATTTATTCACATCATCATGCAATAACATGAATGAAATATTTTTGTTATAGGCTAGTTAGTAGGATTAAGAATAGAAAATCGATTCTTGATAGCATTCTTAAAGCGCAAGACGAAAGAGAACACGTCTGCATGCACGCTGTTTTCTGAGCTGCGCACTCACGCAAACAGCGCAAAGAGCCGCCTCTCACATAGCCTAGTGCACGGACAAATACACAGAATTATATCTCACAATTATACTTCTAGTTAATTTATAGCATCAAATAAACATGAATAAACATCAGAAGAATTATTGTTTCAACCGTGGAAAGACTTCAGTAGGTAGGCTACACATCTTTTCAAGTTCAAATATCCCTGTAGCCTAAACACAGCCGGTTTTGTCTTAACGGTTGAGAAAGTAAAACAGGATATGTCCGTTGAATCAGTCCACTGACAGCCTATACTCGCTGCCACCATTAATGTTGATCAAAGAACAAAAGAAAAAGAAAATCACTCACTGAACTTTTGTAACTTTAATTAGCTTAATATTTTATTTGCCTGTTGTTCGGCGCTGACTGCTCCAACTGCAACATGAGTCTGTGCGACCTTGAGATGCGTTGTCAAACATCATTTGTCCTTACTTTCGTAATTTTGTTAAACATTTTTCTTCATATAATCAAGTAGCCTAGGCCTATTTTATTTTGGTTTGCAGGCTGATAAAAGTTCATCAGAAAAACAAATGGTAGAAGTAGGCTAACTTTACCCGTTTCTGAATATTAATTTAAATGTTGCACATAATAAATAGGCCTAATCAAAAAGCACAAACGGGACCATTGTAATTAAAATAAAAATAAAAATGTCGTTATATTGCAAACGGATGAAGAAATTGCGTTTGAATAGGCTATCTCATGCACGCGTTCGGAGCAATGTTGGCAGCTCCGTATAGCTATATTGGGAGCGTTAGGCCTACTTTGCTTTAGATTAAATAAATGAATAAATAAACAAAACAAACAAAAAAAATCCCCAAATATAATTTTTAATGACTTCTGTTTCTAAATAAATAAAGCAGTCATTTTTATTTCTTAAACGGCTTAAGGTGAACTTGGAACTAAAACCAAAAAGGAGGGGAAAAAAACGTTTTTGCTCATTCAGAACGACAATTCGTTTTTAATTCCTAATTTTAGACAAATAACAAATATATTATAGTTTGAAAATACAAGTTTAAAAACAGCGCTACACATTATTATTATTAAAACTTATTATTAAATCAGGCGATAGGCTACCGCCCAAAAAAGGGAGAAAATCGGACCTTATGAAAAACAAATAGACAAGACAAGACACATAACCCCCTTCAGGCTGATGAAGACCTGATCCTGATCACCCGTCGGGTTTATTCTGAGATGACCGTATAGCTATAACATAAACATGCATTCAGCATTCTTACAATCACCAAATTGTGTTCTGTTCTGTTCAGTTGTAGGCCTATTTAACATTTCTCCTCGCGAAACGAAATTCGTTTCAAACACAGATGCAATAAGAACAGTGAGGAAATTATTAGCAACACTAACATAACAAGCAAAGCTAATGTTTTATGCTCGTTTAAGCTCAAACTAACCAAAGTAAAACCTTTAACGTTTCAATCATTAAATTAAACCAACTAAATCGCAGGCTATCATTAGATAAAGTGCAGCCAAACTCAACATGACTTGTGTTAACGTGTATTCCATATGTGTTGTCTCCAGCGGGGCGCATAGGGGGCGGGGCTTGGGTAGACGATATAATCGGATATCGCGATATTTTTTAAGGCGATTATCGATAAAATATTTTTTACATATCGCCCAGCCCTAGTGTACACCCCTTATGGACCGGGTCAAATTGACCCTAATTGGATTCAATACAATTCCTCAAAAATCACACTATGAAAAACAACAAAGATTTAGATACAAACTATAAACTTTTAATATCAACATTTGTCAAACATTACAAAAACATTATATCTGAAAATATAATGTATGAAAATGTTTTTAAAACATTTTTTAAAACAGTTTTGTTTTGACAAAATTGGAAAATAAACAGTATACTGATTTTTTTGCATATATTTTGTTTTACTTTTTTTTTTTACTTTTTTTTTTACATTTTATGCTTTGAACATCGTAACTGAACAAAAAAAATTGCTGAATAATGTATTTTTTTCATTTTCCTAAGTTAACTTTCCCTAGTTTCCTAAGACCTATTTTCCTAGTTTCATTATTCACTCACTGGGAAGTGAGAAACCAAACATAACAAAAACATACATCAAATAAATGTTTTTTATTTATTTTTTGGCTCTGTGAAGCTGCCTTTGAAAATCCTACATTAAAGTTTTGGTTAAAAGCTAGGTATTTTAGATATTTTGAATATTGAAATGAGAGCTTATTTTACTATCTGTGTCTGACAAAGATTTTCATCTGTAATTTGCAAATATTTCTGAACACTGTAATTTTATCTTTTTCAAGTGTGTTTGGTTAGGGTTAGAGCACTTTTAGATGCACTTGCACGTTAGAACTGGAGTTGAAGTGCCCTGACAAACAGAAAATAAATGTTTTTATTTTGTGTCTGTACAGTTGCTTTTGAATGGCTGCCTATGAGGGTCAAATTGACCCGCGAACATCACCAACGTAACAGTAATTTTGTTTGTATATGTCAAAACACATCAGCATGTTGAAACTTTGCATGCATGTTCATCATGATAAATGAGAAAAAGTCACAAAATATCAAGAAAAAAAACAAAGGTTAACCAGTATTTCCAACAACTTGAAAATCGAAACGGGTCAAATTGACCCGCAACATAACACAAGGGTTAATCTTTAACACTCCAGAAATGTACTTCAGCATATGATATATAGCTTAATTATCCACAATTTAGGATACAGTATAAAAAAAAAATGTTATATCATGCACAAACTGAATTTGACTTGACTTTAAGCACATTATTGGGACCATCTCCGCGAAAAGCTAGGTGAGATTTTGATACAGGAAGAGAGAAGATATTGATGACATGCTTTTCGTTTATTTGGCAAAAAAGGAGAATGTGTATCACTATCTCTACAGGAACTTATGTGCATTTTTAGCACAAAGATTGAAATTAACTTGCATTTATCAAACTGCCAACTTAAGTGTAGAGAAGAACTCTTAAAACTCTTTAAATAAGTCAAAATACATTAAACATAATTTACTATAATTAGGCTATAGCAATAGCAAAGGCCATAATCATAAAGTGAAACATAAGTTCAACCTCAACACAAAAACAGTATCAACAATGCTTCTATTCCCTGAGAGTGAGGATACATTTTTTTTCAATCCAAAATGTTCCCACACACCGGACTTATACGACGCTGGCGCATCCCGTTAGCCTTCCTTATCTCTCCCACTTGCCACTTCTCCGCGTGACGTGACCTGCAGCACTGCATACTCCACCTTTACTGGCGTGTTCGACTTGAACCGGCGCGAGAGTGATTGAAAAGCACACGGAGCCGTCGCGCTCGCGGTACTTTGATGTCATTCACCGATCGCTCTGTGCAGCGCCGGTTCAAGTCGAACACGTCTCATATGTATGTCCACACGTCTTATTTCGCGCGAAAAGGAAACACACGTCTGAGATCACATACGGGCACGAGGCTACATTGCGCATGCGTCGAACCGTGAGACGCACACACGCTCCGAACCGAGACAAGCTAACCGAACGGTTCGGGTGTTTTTTCATGTACCGTGCCACCCCTACAACCTATGGGGCATGTTGTCACACTTCACTTCCATTCTTTCGGGGTAAATCAAGGAAAAAGTATAAACTGTATTAATGAAACAAAACCACATAATTCGCCTTTGGCTAAGCCACACCCTAGAATGTAGATTGACCAATCACAGCGCAGCCAAGAACGAGCTCCCACAGAGGTCCGACACTTTTTCACAGCACTCCATTGACTTTAACACAGGCGTCTCATATTTTTGGTCTCAGCAGGCTATTACCGTCGTAGTTTTATCAAAAATATGGTTAAACGTTAATAAACTTGTTGTTCCTTGCGTTTCACCTGTATGTCGTGAATATAGCCTTAGAGCGTATATATCAGCCCCTTTTGCCTACTTCTATCGGACACTTTATTTGCTGCTTTATAAAAGTTTGATAAAATTTCAGCAGGAAGAGCTGTCACAGCATAAGCCATGTTGATACCAAAGCCCAGATGAAGTTTGTTTGTCGGACGTAGCAACAGTAACTAAGGGGGGCGGGGCTTAACCAAAGGCGAATTGTACTAGACGTGTGAAATTAATACGGGAAAAAATAAATACTAAAAAAAGTAAGTGGATTTACACAAACTGAGAAAGTAAAAGTGTTATGTTGTGACCCGCTCTCCCCTACTTTAACAAACAGTAAATTATGCATAATTACTAATAACTAACCCTAAACAAACCATAACTCTATAGTAAGTACATGTAGTTAATTAATATTACTCAGTACTTATTTGAGTAAGTACAATGTAAATACGTCACCTTAAAATATGAATAAATGTGCCCCGCTTTCCCCTACTCGTTGAACACCTACGATATTGAAATGTGTTCGATTTGAACGTTACTTGGAAAAAATATCACAAAAGTTATATCACAACATGTCACGTGCCTTTACGGGATTTTTACGGGTTGTGTGTGAACACACTCTCAGATGCGGGAAAATCACTGGCAGTGTGAATGAACCAAAATCAAACGAACCCGGGTCACTTTATCCGTGTATTTCCCGGGATCTCTGTGTGAAAGCGGCTCTAGAGCGTCGGCTCACCTGCGATGTAGATCTCGTCCAGTTTGACGGCCACTTTCCTGGGTAAGCCGGCGTCCAGCAGCGTCTGGAAGTGCTCTGAGTGGGTCACCGGCACCGCAGCCGGCGACTCCACCGGCTCATCCGTACCGTTCCCATTTATATGCTCCGTGGCCATGTCTCCGGGACCTGTGCGGAGGAAAGGGACAAATTCATCCAGAACTGGGTCAAAGGTCAGTGATCTCAACAGATGGAGACTCACTGTAAGAGGAGTTTAATGATGCGCTGGACGGTGTGATGATATACAGTCAAACCAGAAATTATTCAGACACTATAGTTCATGTATGTAAGTGAGGAGGGCAAAATAAAGTCAACTGTGACATATTATACCCAAATATTCTTCACACAGTAACATTTGGGACCAAACAGGACTCCTCCACTTTGAGCTGATCATGTGTTTTCTGTAATTGCTAATGCTCTTTTCACACACAGACTGAACAACATGAAGCATTGCTTGGTCACTGGTTGAGCTAAACTGGTATTATCTAATTGTGTAGTTAAATTGAACAGCTGACAGATATTCAACATAATTCATGTGTGAGAGTCTAACAGAAGGACGGACAAAACCAGTGAAACATCAACTATCAAGTTCTTGTCATATTGTATTACCATTTTCTAAACTATAGCGAATGGACTGTGATAATGTGAGAAATGTTGACGTGTCGGAATATATGTTGGTTTGACTGTATATCGTTACCACAATATAAAATGTTTATCGTTAGAGATTTTGCTATATCACACAGTATTTAAATATACAGCACTGTTGACACTTCAGTGATGAAAGCATGAATGAGAATATAAAGAGCGGGACGTGCTCGGTGTTACTGTTATTAAGCACAAGCAGCCGCGGAAAACAACCATGTGATCGCAAATTCAGTTCTCGTTCACGTCTTATTGCACATATGCGACTAAATCTGCACTCTTGAGTGACTGAATAATGTCTATCATTAGCCATTGGCTAATAAATTCGTGGATTTTACTCACCAGCGTGTGTGTGTGTGTGTGTGTGTGTGTGTTAGAGGCTACGTATAAGTTTAGCATAGATATATATTTCACTCGCTCGAGAGTTTTGCTCTCCGTCAAGTGATCTGTACTATTGTAAACGATATTCTTTGCTGTATTTTCCTGTCAAAATAAAGTTAATTTGGAATAATTCAGCTTTTAGGAAGAAGCAGAAGATATGGCGGTTTCTCTGGTGGTAGTGGGCGGGACTAATGCGCAAACGGCAATCTCATTGGCTGGCGCTCATCGCTGTTTTGATTTCAGCAAATCAGTTCGAGCGAACGCTGACAACGTGATTAACATTCATTAACCCAACAGTTCATCAATCCTTATTAGTGCGTTATATTGTTATTAGTTGTAGGGCTGTGCAACGATTAATCGCATCCAAAATTGTAAATTAAAAGTTTGTGTTGTCATGTGATATTTCGCATAAATACACACACGCACGCATACATACATTTTAGAAATATGTGCATGTGTATACCGGTACTGTATATATATTTTACATATCATTTATTTTATGCATGTGTGTATTTATATACACAGAATAATTAAAAACAGTACACACACATATATTAGGCTGTGTAAGCAAACTTTTGCAATGGCTCAAATGTAAAAAAGCAGCATCTATCACTATAATATATCCAACAATTTAACAATTACTACAGTAATTGTGTTTATAGACATTATATAAACACATTAATGTAAACATCTGTTACAAAGGCAGACATTGCAAACAAAGACTATCAATGTCAATATGTGCACATATAATATGCTAAGTACGGATGCTCAAACAGATCTCATTGGTCATTGGTTCTCACGCGTCACGCATACTTTAGATATTTTAATCTTACAAACTGCTGCCAGGACAAAAAGCTACTCATCCCTTTTAGCAAATCAAAGAAAACAGAAAAATGCCCAAATACTGAATCATGCCAACAAGGCGAAGACAGCGGCAGTACTATGGTACAGGGATGGTCTCAGATCATGGTAATGAACGATTGCCACTGATATATAGCAGTTTATTTTTTTTTGCCATATTGAGATATTGAGGCTGCATGAGGCATCGACTCACAGCATTTCATATTTATTTATCAATATGGCCAAAAAATGGCAGAACACTTGCATGTATATTTACATGTTACTTTTAAAATGCAGTAACAGCTTTGATAAGCACATGCTGTAAAGTATGTCAACTGTGAGAATGCATGCAGTAATTATTTATGCACAATTTAAAGTTGCCATCGTCTGCGATCGTATTTTCTATCATATTGTGACATATCTGAGTGAAATAAAAAAGTGGGGCGTGGCTTGATTTTGTCCGTTGGGAAATGATTGGATGGGTGTGGTTTGCTATTGGCTGATCTCATGTGAGTGACAGGTTGCCCCGCCCTCGTCATTAGAGAAGAGATGTCGCTGCAAGAGGGAGGGGAAGGTATTCTGATTCAAGATTACAAAAAATATTAATTTAAAACAATAATGATGCATGAATAAATACTGAAATATTCAATAAAAAACTAAAAAATAGTCGCGTTTGATTTCATGGGGACTTTAAACAAAAATGTGTTAATGTCTGAGATTCATTTTAGCATTTCATTCAGGCAAAAATGCTTAAGTTTAGTACACCGATATGACATCCACCATGTGGTACAGTAGAAATATTTCGAGTGTCCCTTTTTATACGGTCCCTTATTTTTCTTTGCCGAATTCAGCAACTCTATTCTGTACCGAAAATTCGGGGTTGACGAAAATAATCACAATCATGTCCAATCGTATTTACTATTATATTTTAGTATATTATAATTACAATAGTACTTTAAAGAACGCCCTTGTCTGAATATTTCATCACTCAGACTTCCACGTGTTCCGAATAACTCCCGCTTCACGAGCACGAGCACATGACGTTTACCGAGAAAACGGTCACTTCAGTCACGATATCACTGCAGTTTACAAACCTATGACACATTAACGTTGACAATTCATTACTTCATTAAATAACGTGATTGATTACGTTTGTTTATATGATAAGCGACAGACTCAAACCGTTTAAATTCAACTTCAAACACAAGTCGTGGTGGATAAAATGAGTAAATGTCATGTATTCTCATCGGGCCGTGTCTCTTTGTTGTGTCAGTGATGACAAGAACACACTCGCTAGGCCACAACACACACTCGCTACGTGGACACTCTGATAAAGCCTGTTTCAGCACCACCACTAAGTATTTCAATCAGAAATCACACGTTGTTGTTTTTCTTTAAAGACAAAAGAACAAAACAAATTCACAACAAACTTTAGTCATGTCTGGACGTGTTAGATGTGTTTATTTGACAACGTGTGTGTTTGTTAGGGGAAGGGAGGGGGGGCGACATCGTGTTTGACCAGCAACCACATCATGACTTTACCACACTACTTTTACGTGCACAGAAAGCAAACAACAGTCCGTGAATTATGCATAAAATGTGTACGAATGCCGCTCGTCTGATATGTGATGAGTTGAGCCGCGCGCGTGCCGGTGCGATCACTCTCTACTCGCTACGGAAAGCCAAAGCATCACTTCACCGCGTTTATGAAATCTGAAGAGAGCGTTCTCATACCTGTCAGTTAATATCTTGGATTATGTTGGGATAAATCCAGAGAGAAATGTACTGAAAGAGGATAGAGTGGCCAGATCCCGCCGTGTCTGCTGATATCTCACTCTTTTCAATAGGTCTGATGCAAAATGGCGGCGAAACTCATGCCGCGGGAGTTTTTTTCCGCTTCCGGTTGTACGGGGTTTCTCACACAGCCATTGGAGGGTCACATTACACACACTGACTCACTACTCACTGCGCACTGCGAAGTACATACAGCGAGTTGCTCTGTTCGGTGTCTTTTCCTGCAGCAAGATTCTTTTGGTCTTCTTTATTTGGTGATATCTTGGGTTAAAGCATGGAAATAAGTTTTGTATCAATAACAAAAGTGTCTTACAAAATACTTCACAGAATTGACCGTGCTAAGCATGTTTTGGAAAGAATTTTGTGTACTAGAAAAAGACACAATTGGGCATCTGTTTTTTTCACTCACTGTATTTATTTACTCAAGATTATTTTGGAAAGATGTAAAAACCTTTATTATTAATAGAAAACTAAACTGTATGATGGAAATGTGTTTTTGATGTCCCTTTTTTATACTCAGAATGACAATTTGGAATGTAAAGAATACAGTTATTTGTTTTATTAGGAAAATACCATATACATGGGCTCAAGGTAAACCAAAATTTTCACATATTATAAATGACTTTACATTATATGTACATCTTTTGTAACAAACTAAAAACAAAAAAGCAATGAAAACATGTAATGCTTTGAAAGCACTGGATTCTATGTAAAACAGTTTTTTATTTTATTTCCTGGCAGCTAATGTTAATGTGATATTGTGAATATGTAATACCTCTTGTTCTTGAGGCATTGAATAAAAAAATAAAAACATACAGCCTGTTTCTTACTATTTTAAGTAAACTGTACAGTGTCTATAGTAAGGAAGCCCATTTCCACCACTTAAGAAAAATAATCGTTGTTAACATATATTTTGACTGAAAAAGTCACACAAGTATTAGGCCTACATAAAATGTCGATATTATGGGATACTAATTCATATTTTGACTTTTTATTTCAAAGTTATGACATAACTATGACAATTTTAGGAAATAATTAATAGATTTAAAATGTGAAAATTATGACATATGCCTTACTAAGTCATAATTATGGGATTAAACAGTCAAAATCATTAGATAAAACTTAATGACTTTCTATTAGCCTAATTATGACTGTTTAAGAATCCCTGAGGAACTCTTATATGAAGCATTGTGTGGAACGGCTTTGAGTGCCTCCAGGAAACAAACTCGGTATTTTGTTTATTTGTTTGTTTGTTTCTTGTATGATTACCATTAACTTCTATTAGACCTATTTAAAAAAAAAAAAAACCAAATACAAAATTGTTTGTTGAATATTATAGCCTACATTTTAATACACTTGGAAAAAAGTTACACTGAATAACAATACATTATAAAAATTGTATAATACATAAACAACATGAATAATCAACCATTTATATACAAAAGGCTATAGAAAAAAAGACATCTCAACAAAATGCATGTAAACACCAATGTTCCATGTAATAAATCAATGTGAGTTAACATCTTGACAACACTAATTAAAAGTGCAGCAAATATATTTTTTGTAGAAATATTTATGTCTCAATCCGCTAATAATTTTGACATTTTAAACTGTCGACAGGCCGGTATGCAAAGTGACAGACACACAATGAGGTCGAACCAGCGAAAACACAGGATTAAAGTCTTAAAGTCCCCCTGTGGTGAACAATACGCTTTTAATGTTGTTTATGTGTGTATGTGGTGTTTTTAATATGCTTTAAGACAAACCATGTGTAAGTTCATAAGTCGACAGCATTGCTGAGTATTTTCTCTAAGTTTACTTCACCATATTACAATTAAATCCAAATGTAATCATGACAAACTACATATCGTTGGAAAGGTCTAAGACTCCTATATAGTTATTTTAGCACTATTTTCTGTTAAAAATTATGTAGGAACAGTAATAGATTAATTTATAACAAGAGTGCAGCTCAAAATACCTACATCATAACAGGAGTTCTGACCTTTAAAGTCGACGCACACTCTTTTAATATAATTGATAGAAATAATAATTGAAACTTTTGTTTCCATGCTAAAAGTTCATAATAAAACATATAATCTAGTATTTGTCAAAAAAAAATGTAACATAATAATATCCTCTAAAAAGTATAATATATATATATTATCCTCTAAAATATAATGTTATCTTTTTTAATTACATCACATATTTTAGAAGTTATCATAAATGATGTATCATTTGAAAGCAGAATTCATCCTGTGAAAACCGTTTTGAAATTGGACGTTGCGTTACCATAGAAACGGTACTCTAAATTATTTTATCGGGCTCCTCCCCTTTTGGGCATCATCATATTTCATAATTTATGATCAAAACCTTTTCTAATCTTGACAAAACACATATTGTCAGAAAGGTCTGAGTCTCGAGGTTCCATATTTTGTGACAGAAGTTATATTTGAACAGAAATGTATTAATTTGTTGTGACAGAATGTTTAGGAGGATCTGTTGACAGAAATGCAATATCATATACATAACTATGTTTTCAGTGGTGTGTAAAGACCTTACATGATGAACCGTTATATTTTTATTACCTTAGAATGAGGCATTTCTCTCTACACACACGGTGTGTCCCCTTTTTGACATGTTTCTACGGTGGCCCTGAACGGACAAACGCGTTTCGTCACGATGTTGTTCTTGGTGCAAAAGAAGCTGTAGCTAAAGTCAGCGAATAAAACACTGACACAGTGATGAACAAGTAACAATAATATTCGCAATAACATTTCGTTTTACTGAATAATTAAGTAAACATAATTTCTTCATCTTTGTAAAGAAACTTCATTGCTGAATTGGATACTCTCTGCTGTCTCAGACGATGACATCACTTCCTGTCGGCCACCGACAGCATTTCGCAACCTCACCACTAGATGCCGCTAAAATCACACACTGCGCCTTTAAGTAAGTTCAGTGATGTTTCATTTTTGTTGTAAAAATGTTATTAATTTAGTTCATGCAAACGGGGTTGCATTTGTGTGCAGGTTTCACTGACGTGGAGGCATTTATTGGGATTGTACAGAGACATTTAATGGTATCGAGATGACATCTCTCCTGGCTGGGAAGCAAGACAATCCCATGGTAAAACTGAGTGGTTTATTGACACCGTACAATGTAAAAAAACTTTTTATCTTTTGTCAAATCAACTTAGATAATAAATGTGGTTAAGATAACACAATATTTTGAGTTTCTATTTATTAAACCAATCTCCTTCATTGTATTAACTCAACATTTTTATTTCAATGAACTCAAAATTGTAAGGCAACAGGTAACTTACTTGTTTAAGTTAAACCAACAATATGTTTTACGGTGTAGAAGAGCTTGCCTGCAGTTCAGATGTGTCTCTGTGGAAAACGGATGTCTCGTGTCAGACAAGACTGGGCGAATATTCCACTTGCCAGAAGTTAGTATCCTCAGTTCCCCAACAATTAAAAAGTGTAATTAAAAGGAAAGGTGATGTGAGACAGTGGGGAACATGCAACTTTTTTGAAATGTGCAGCCATCAAAATCCACATTTGTTTATCTTTACAAATTACAATGAGGTTGGTCAGTGAAAACATTGGAAATCTTTTCTTTGTACTTTGTCAGTTAAATAAAGAGAATGAACAGATCACAGATTCTTGATTTTATTGCATTTAACAAAATGCCCGAACTTTTCTGGAAATGGGGTTGTAATTAAAGGTCATGGATATTTTCATATTTCAGCTGACTAATGATGACTCACATTTGTACACGATGAGTGTGTGTGTGTGTGTGTGTGCCGGGGGTCCCCCCTCCTCCTCAGTGGTTTGAACCGTTATATACTAAACTAACTGGGAATTTGGGAAATGAAGTTAACGCATTACATCATCCTGATATCTGCTTTGCCATTGGAATACATTTCCCAGAATCCATCTCTCTCTCTAGCTAGCTGGTTTAGCTGCTAGCTACTGTGAACTTAAGCTAATGTTATAACCTCCAGTAGTCCACATAAACACCATTTCTCGTTATGGCATATATTAGCGTTATATAAGAGATAATTTTAAAGTATATATCAGTGGTGTCCCCCTAAGTTGTAATGAAATCTACACACTTGTCATTAGACTTATAAAGTCCCTAAATGTATATTTCCCCCATTTGAAGACTGTCCCAGATTACCCAAAGCATGCTGTCCCACATTCTCATTCATATTTGATAAAGTGGGACAACAACAAAAAATATTTTAAAAGAAAAAAAACGTAAACACATTTTCAACACTTGAATACATGTTTTGTTGCTTGAATAGATCACAAACATAATTTGACAACAATTTGGAACATTGTCTTATTTATGACAGATTTATGTCCTTAACATTAATCTCAGAATCCTATGTCACTCTATGTTTCCATCCACACGTTTTTATATCAAATGAAAAATGCCTTATGGAAACAGTAAAATTCGTTTGAATTTCATGAATATCGACTCAAATGAAATACGATCGGTCTCATCAGATTTTATCTTGATCGATATACGGCTTATGCGATAAACGCGGATGGAAACGTTATTATGGTGCGATCCATTTTGCCTAGTAAAACTTTGTTCTCAAATGTTTGCTTGAATGTTGTGCAATTCGGTGAGAAAATGAATGGAAACACCTTAACATGTCTCAAATCAATTCGATACACCAATTTGATCGCAAAACAGCATGTGACGTCCTTACGCACAGGTTTTTATCCGCTTTAAAGCCGTTTGATGGAAACACACTTTCACCAGCTTTATTCGCATGAGGTTTTTTTTTACCGAACTTCAGATAATTCGATTGACAAGTGGATGGAAACATGGCTACTGACCTTGTCATTTGACAAGTGCCCTGCTTCTTTCTGTGATTTCAGTCACGTGACATCCATGCTAACCCTATAGTAAAAGTCCTGTTGGCAAAACTTAGTTAGAACACCTATGCGCTTCAAGACGTGAGCATGTTTGGACACACTAGGGAATAACAGGACCACACACACACACACACACACACACACACACACACAAACTCTTGTAGCTCCGCCCCCTGTGCCGGAAGCTCCAGCTCATTTGCATTTAAAGGGACACACACAAAAACGGTGCATTTTTGCTCACCCTCAATTTTAACATGCTATATAAAAATATCTGTGGGGTATTTTGAGCTAAAACTTCACACACACACACATACTATGGGGACATCAGAGATGTATTTTACATCTTTAAACTGCTTTCCTCATGGGGACCAAAAAATGGTTCCAGAAGGAAAAGGATTTCCGATACTGTCATCTTTGTAGGGACATTTTGTTTAAACTAAATATAAAAAAAGTGTATAAAATATAAAAGTGAAACTCCTATGCCAATCTGTGGGCATGAGTAGCCTGTTGTGTAACTTGTATTTGTATTACTATGATTCTTATTCTTGCGGTACCATGACGTGAATAACTGCACTAATGACTTGAAAGATAATAGTTAATTATGTGATGTAATAGTGTTGTCCAGTTATGTCCTCTTCGGTGTCTGTTTACCAAAAACTCTTTCCTGATTTCTTCTCCTCTCTGTTCCATCATTACACCACTAGATGGCGATGAGTGAGTGAGTCAATATATCACTGACAACCGAGGATGGACAAATAAATCATCATTAAATAGCATTTAACAAATGTCACAATGTATCATGAACAAACATTAGTTAACAAAAATCAATGGTTAATTCATAAAATAACATAGATTAACAAATGCTGTAAAGTGTTGATTGTTTGTTCATGATATTGCATTAAATAATTTGAACAAATGTAAAGTGTTACCAGTCTTTTATTCCTTCTGTATATTTAAAAACAGTGGGATGTATGGTGTCACTAAAAACACATGATCTCTATAAAGGACAAACATTCAGAAATTCAAAAACAAAATAACAAAAATCAATGATTTGACCGAGAATGTTGGTAACCAAACAATTGCATATTATGAAAAAAAAAAAAAAATACTATGGAAGTCAATGGGGTCCAAAAACTGTGGTTACTTTAAAATATCTTCTTTTGTGTCCGACAGAAAAAAACTCAAACAGGTTTGAGGGCGAGTAAATGATGAGCAAACACTTTAAACTATGGAAAGCTCTAGTAGAGAACTACTGGTATAGCAAAAAGCCAAATATTATTTACAATTGTAAATAAAAATGTAAACATTAGATATTTGAATGTGAGATTGATGTTTTATTAATGAACATAAATCATTTTACCTTCAATGACATACTGTAACTCTCAGAATAACTACTGAAATGATGTACATGTATACAGTACCTGGCTACATCGAAGGCTTCTGACTGAATTTCTTTGTTGCTTTGCGTTTGTAGTTTTGTTACATTAGTATAAAACACTATCTAGCATATAAAAAGGTTTTATTCATATGTACAGCTGATATGGTTTCAATGGCATGAATCATGTTCACATGTTTATTATGTTTTTTTATTATTATTATTATTATTATTCTATGAGTTTTCCCAGAACAAGGGCACTATATTTCTCTCTACAGATGTGATGCGAGTGTAAATGTGATATGGTTTCAATGGCATGAATCATGTTCACATGTTTATTATGTTTTTTTATTATTATTATTATTATTATTATTAAATGAGTTTTCCCAGAACAAGCGCACTATATTTCTCTCTACAGATGTGATGCGAGTGTAAATGTGATATGGTTTCAATGGCATGAATCATGTTCACATGTTTATTATGTTTTTTTATTATTATTATTATTATTATTATTAAATGAGTTTTCCCAGAACAAGCGCACTATATTTCTCTCTACAGATGTGATGCGAGTGTAAATGTGATAAGGTTTCAATGGCATGAATCATGTTCACATGTTTATTATGTTTTTTTATTATTATTATTATTATTATTCTATGAGTTTTCCCAGAACAACAGCACTATATTTCTCTCTACAGATGTGATGCGTGTGCAAGTGTGATATGGTTCCAATGGCATGAATCATGTTCACATGTTTATTATGTTTTTTTATTATTATTATTCTATGAGTTTTCCCAGAACAAGCGCACTATATTTGCCCCTACAGATGTGATGCGAGTGCAAGTGTGCGGCCGCTGTGGGGTGTTTCACCGTGCCGTGGTCCTCCTGGCGCTGCCCTGCGGGGCTTTAGGAGGCGCGGGTCTGCTCCTGATGTTCTGGCACATGGGCACGTGTCTCTCGGCCGGGCCCGGGGCGAACCTCCGGCCGCAGTGAGGACACGACACGTACTCTGGGTGCAGATCGGACCCCGGCTGTGGCTCAGGATCTCGACCCTGACGCATGGTCTGAATGAAGGCCTGGTGTTTCTGCCGCCACGTATTCTTCTTAAGCTGTGGGTGAAGACAGTGTGACATCAGTGAAGAGTTCATATTACATCAGCAGAACCAAATCATTCTGCTCAAACAGACTGAAGATATAAATAACATTGCCATGGACGTTTTTTCCACAATCAAGGTTAAATGTGCATGAATGAAGAGTACAAGGCAAAGTGAATATTTTTTAGATTAGATTGGTCATTTTGTTTAATTTTAAAGGTGCCCTAGAATGTTTTTATTTTTTTATTTTATAATGTTTCCTGTGTTGCCCTTATAATGTTAGTATGTTTTTTAGATCAAAAATAGTCATAATTTAGAAAAAAAAGGCATTTTTCCTAGCCTGCTTTTAGCCTCTGTTTGAAGGGGCGTGTCTGCTGTGGGATTCAGTGTATCCGCCCACTGCTGTGATTGGCTGACATGCTTGCATATGAAATAGCTACATATTACATGTGAAACTCTCTCGAATACTTTTACTACTGCTATTATACGTTTTTACTATTACAGCTATCGAGATTAACGAATCGTGAGATGTTTTTAAAGTATTTAGATCTATTCCCATCACATAAAATGTTGCCGTGATGAGCATTGAGCAGATGAGTGTGTTGATCGCGAGAATGAAGATCTTATCATTGCAAAGCAGTTTCTGCACTCTCTCTGCTTTCACCAATGCAAACACGATGATGTAAATACAGTAAGAGCTTCGTTGTGCAGTAACGTGCGTCATTGATTTCATAACGAGTTTGGCAAGTGTCCAGATAAACTCGCGCTGTGTGGAAAGATTGTTCTCTGATCGCTTTCTGTATATAATTTATTCACAATTTAAATACGATTATTTTCATCCTACTAAAAGAAACGATGTGAATCTGATATTTTAGTCACTGGCTTGATGACTGAAGCATAAACAGTATTGAACGATTTTGAGAGAAAGATTACCTGTCTGAACTTGAACAATTACACATCAGAAAGTGTTGCTTGGTAGCTCGATCCGAGGCCAGCTCTGTATTGGCCCAAGTTGAGGAAACACTCGGTGAAATGTTTGGAAATTTCCAGAGAAAATAAAATTAACCCATTGTTTCTTCAGAGGCTCAGATGAAGGAACTAAAAAATACTTTTGTGTTCATGTGTGCATCCACACTGAGCAACTGCCATGCTTCGGCTGCGCAGTTCCGCCTGGCATTGAGGGCTGGCATATGCAAATTCTTTGAGACATACATATTAATGATCCCGACTGTTGCGTCACAGTCGGTGTTATGTGGAGATTCGCCTATTTTTCAGGGGTGTTTTTCAAAAACGAGATTTAAGTAAGGAGAAAACAATGGTGTTTGAGACTGTATGTCATGTCCATGTACTGAACTCTTGTTATTTAACTATGCCAAAATAAATTCAATTTCACATTCTAGGGCACCTTTAAAGTTTGTGAGGAACATCTGATGCTTGTAATGTGAATCAGTGAGATATGTTTAACAGTATAGCAGATCCTTACATAAACTGTAGATAAATATCAATATCTGCCAATAATATGTCTTAGTAAGATGATATTTAAATACTTAGTTTATGATCAAAGCTCTGTAGTTTTAAAACATATGTAATGCAATACAATGAAGATTGTGAGATGAACTAATAAACCTTCTTCAAAAGCCTGATGATCATATTTGATACGCATAAATAAATGATGTATGATAATCAAGTAAAGCGAAGCTGCTTCAGTCCAGCTGAAATATTACTAACAATATCAAAGTTATTCCTTGATAAATCAGGTCAGATTTGACACAGAAAGACTCGTGAAGCTCGAGCTGCAGGAGGACGTTTGTACAATTACATTGAAAGACTTTTACCGGATAAAAGAGTCGAAACTCTCAGTCAGAGACAGAAGGACTGAGGAGATCGAGTGCGACAGGTTGAACAGATCATGTTCATCATTTGCGTATCAAATATGTGACCCTGGATCACAAAACCAGTCACATGTCGCACGGGTATATTTGTGGCAATAGCCAACAAAACATTGTATGGGTCAAAATGATCGATTTTTCTTTTATGCCAAAAATCATTAGGATATTAAGTAAAGATCATGTTCCATGAAGATATTTAGTAAATTTCCAACCATAGGCTAAATATATTTTTTTTTTTAAATGTGTGAGTGGATGGAGCAAAAGCGCGAACATAAATCCACAACTTTAAAGGACATTTTCTCAATGTTAAGATTTTTTTGCACCCTCAGATTCCAGATTGTCTAATAGTTGTATCTCGGCCATATATTATAATATCCCAACAAACCATACATCAATGGGAAGCTTATTTATTCAACTTTCATGTCAACTTTTCACTTTCATTCAAAAAAAATGACCCTTGTGACTGGTTTTGTGGTCCAGGGTCTCACATGTCGCGATGGTTCTCCTTACTTCCGGCGTTTTGCTCCTGCCGTGGGTCTTCATGAACCTCTCGAGCTCGGTTCCTTTGGCTCTGTGCCGGGACGTGTCGAAGACCTTGCGCTCAGGCCTCTTTTTCTCACACACTCTCGTGTGTGTCTCCAGCCGGTCTCGAGCGAAGCATCGGCCGCACACGTTACAGGGAACCGGCCGCTGCAGGGCGTCGGGATACTCCCCGGGAGTGAGCTCAACACGCTGCAGGCGCTTCTCCTTCAGTTCATCAAATCCCTGTTTATTCTCCCTCCTCTCATGTTTGAGGTGAGCTCTGTCCCTTCTCGTAGAGTCACATGTGTTTGGTTTTCTCACGTCTTCATCTTCTCTGTCCAGATAGAGGTCGTGCATTTCATTTCTTCCTCTGGCATGATCATCCCATCCCATTCCTCTCTCGCGTCGCCCGTTCCCTTTTCCGGTGTGTTCGTAGTCATCCCACTCTCTCTTTTCCTCAGGCTTGTGACCCTTCGCCACGTCTAAAGCCAAAGGTCGTCCCCGTCCCTCACGTTTCACAGCTTCTCTTCTCCTCTCCGCCATCTCTCGCTCCCATTCCTCCCATCTTTCCATATCATCTCTTCCATTCCCATATCTGTCCCTTTCCTCATCCCATTCGCCATATCCATTACCATAGAACCTGTCGTCCTCGAAATAACATCGATTTATCTCTCTGTTCTTCTCTTTTTGGACTCTTCGTACAGTCTCTTCTGCTTTGGAAATCTTCTGCTGGAGCATCTGGATTTCGTTCGGCAAGCGTGTTTGCTTCTCTTCCTGATCCTGGTTTTTTCTCCCTGTTCGATGGGATGAGCTGATGGGATCTAGTTTCCTCGCAGTCTTCTGTTGCTGTCGGACCGCAGCTTGATCAGCCAGTGTAGGCAAACGCGAGTTAAGTATCTCTTGATGTTGTGATTTGGTGACATTACTCAAGCTGAACGCTCTCTTGTGGAGGACTGGTTTTAGGGGGAATATTTTGCCTAATGCTATCCGCGAAGGAACGTATTCGTTCTGCTCCGTGTTTTTCGCCCTGTGGATGTTGTCTGGATGTTGCCAGGGATGTTCTCTCTCTTGGTTATCTAAAACGTCCAGTCTGGAGCTGTGATGAGTTCCCGAGGGACGGCGCTGTCTGCTCATGCTCTCTCTGTGTAATACCGGTAGTTTTGATGATACGGTCTCTCTTTCCCAAAAGTGTTGTGTGAGGTGATGTTGTGGCAGCGTTTGCATGTTTGAGAAACTCACACATGCAGCTCCAGCAGAGGTTGATCGTATAATAACAGCGTTGTCAACCTGTGGACTGATAGAAAACACATATGGACATTACGGTAACACTTTACAATAAGGTTCATTAGTTAACATGAACTAAGAATGAACAATACTTCTACAGCATTTATTAATCTTAGTAAATATTAGTTTCAACATTTACTAATACATTATTAAAATCAAAGGTTGTATTTGTTAACATTAGTGTGAACTAACATGAGCAAACAATGAACCGCTGTATTTTTATTTACCAATATTATTAACAAAGATGAATAAAAACTGTAACAAATGTATTGCTCATGGTTAGTTCATGCTAGTTTATACATTAACTAATGTTAACTAATGAAGCTTATTGTAAAGTGTTACCGACATTTCTTTAAAAAATAGTCCAAGTAACGTTATCATTTGTTTCTGTTTGTTCTGTAGATCTTTGGTTGCTGCTTCTGTAACCATCATTAATCATCGCATCATCTATCTGTGTCCAATATAAGGTGGTTATATTAAACTGTTGATCCAGGAAAAACTAGGTTATTGTGGAGCTAATGAAAATATTATACAGTGTTAATATCTAGCATGTCTTTACATTTCCCAGTACTTGTGTCTGATCAGATTGACTGTAAATATATATGTATATATATCAGTAAGTTAGTGTGTTGCCATTTTCATTAGCATTGTTATTCACATTATAGAAGATTGAATGTATGTTTAGCTTTAAACTCACCGACTCGTTGTCTGTGAATGTAAACTGCTGGATCACCTCAGGTTTCCAGTTGTGTTTACAGTAGTTGCTTAGGAACAAGACAACGCAAACTCCCTTCACATTTGCTATTGGCCAGTTGCGTCAGACGTCATGCCGTGGTGACGTCACCCGGATGAAGGACGCGCTGTGATGATGATGGTGCGCATGCGCCACTTCATGAGCGAAACTTGTGTGTTGAGGTTGAAACGATAATAAAGTCGATTTCACTGCGGATTTCAGAAACTAGAAAGCCGTTTACTATCGTCCATCCACCGGTACGTCATACAGTGTGTTCGACAGAGTTGAGGAAATTGTGAATCGCTTTGGTCAGATGATGTCGGAGCTGTTATAATGATGTTGTGAGTGTTTCAGGTGCTCATCATCATGTCCACTGAAGAAGAGCTGCTGTCCGTGGATTATGAGGTGTATGGGAGAGTGCAGGGCGTGTTCTTTAGGAAACACACACAGGTAATGGACATATCAATGTCGTGTGTGCTGGGGCTAGTTGTCACATCAATGAACATAGGAGAGCTGCCATCTCTCACGCAACTGACCCTTTCACGCTCTCACGACACACATCAATTTTCTCACGCAGAATTGCGAACCAAAGAGAACACCTACGGAGCCCCGAAAGGGACCTTTGCATAAATAAAAATGTGCAAAGTTTTAAAAATACAATCTTTAAAACAGATGAACAACAAAATAAAACTCCATACTTTCCAGTGCTTAAAAAAAACTGTATGTATATGTACAAAAATGAGTAGGAAGAAGTGAAACTTATGTAACTTAAAAGCTGGATAAAAAAAATAAATAAAAAAAAGCTGGTTTATAACATTAAAGGGTTAGTTCACCCAAAAATGAAAGTTATGTCATTAATGACTCTCCCTCATGTCGTCCCAAGCCCGTAAGACCTCCGTTCATCTTCGGGACACAGTTTAAGATATTTTAGATTTAGTCCGAGAGCTTTCTGTCCCTCCATTGTAAATGTATGTACGGTATACTGTCCTTGTCCAGAAAGGAGATAAAGACGTCATCAAAGTAGTCCATGTGACATCAGTGGGTTAGTTAGAATGTGTTGAAGCATCGAAAATACATTTTGGTCCAAAGATAACAAAAACTACGCCTTTATTCAGCATTGTATTGTGTTCTGGTTCTGTTGTGGATCCGCGTTCAGTGCCGCCGCTGACGTAAGACGCTGCTGACGTGTGTCTGGTGTGTGTGTGTGTGTGTGTGTGTGTGTGCATTCTGGTTCTGTTGTGGATCCGCGTTCAGTGCCGCTGCTGACGTAAGACGCTGCTGACGTGTGTCTGGTGTGTGTGTGTGTGTGTGTGTGTGTGTGTGTGCATTCTGGTTCTGTTGTGGATCCGCGTTCAGTGCCGCTGCTGACGTGTGTCTGGTGTGTGTGTGTGTGTGTGTGTGTGTGTGTGTGTGTGTGTGTGTGTGTGTGTGTGTGCATTCTGGTTCTGTTGTGGATCCGCGTTCAGTGCCGCTGCTGACGTAAGACGCTGCTGACGTGTGTCTGGTGTGTGTGTGTGTGTGTGTGTGTGTGACGTAAGACGCTGCTGACGTGTGTCTGGTGCGCCCGAGCTTCATTTACAGTCTGAGGGATACTCACGATGGAAACAAAACAATCTTCGCAAACATGTCTAAGGATTTCCACTAGGGGTGTAACGGTACACAATAATCACGGTTCGGTACGTACCTCGGTTTTAAAGTCACGGTTCGGTATGTTTTCGATACAGCAAAAAGAAAGAAATGCCAGAGAAATTTCCCATTTGTTAAAAGAAAAAATATTTTTTAATAACTGTGAGTTTTCCTACATCTTGAAACTTTCAGGTTTATAAATGGGGGTCATCTTTGAAGGATGAACAAATAATGTTTTGGTCATCACATTAAAAATAACATTTAAGTATATATTTATTTATATATTATTTGAGTTTTGAAGTGCTGGAAAAAGATGTGTGAAGTACTTGAAAGTATTTCACTATTCCAGCCAAACTGGTTACAGTTATGGTGAATGTTGCTGGTCTGTGGACGTAAACTATTACTAGTTCATTCACGGCACAATGTTTCTCCTGGTTTCCACGTCAGCGCTGTTTGATCTAATAGAGATCTACGGTTAATAACGGAGAAATGTGAATGCTTCTCACTAGATCTCGCAGCGATGTTATTACTTCAGGGGCGAATTCAAATGTTTTCTTCACTGGATCTCTTAGCGCTGTGTCGCTTGATCTCGCGCTGCACAGATGTTGCTGGTCCGAACTGATAAACGGTCCGTGAAGCACAATATAATGAGTAGCGCAGTTTCATTCCGCTTTCATTACGTTTGCCATTTGATGTTGCGCAACGTTGTGGTGATCGCGCCAGCGTGGATTTTGTCGGCAGGAAAAATGGTCCAAGGAATCGTTCGGTTTGTATGCGTACCGAACCGGATGCCTCGAACCGAAACGGTTCAATACGAATACATGTACCGTTACACCCCTAATTTCCACACAGAGGAAGACTTGCATTTTTTTGCCCAGCCATATTTATTTCAACCCGAATACACGGGCGCACCAGACACACGTCAGCAGCGGCACTGAACGCGGATCCACAACAGAACCAGAATACACACACACACACACACACACACACACCCAGACACACGTCAGCAGCGTCTTACGTCAGCGGTGGCACTGAACGCGGATCCACAACAGAACCAGAATACACACACACACACACAAACACACACCAGACACACGTCAGCAGCGTCTTACGTCAGCGGCGGCACTGAACGCGGATCCACAACAGAACCAGAATACACACACACACACACACACACCAGACACACGTCAGCAGCGTCTTACGTCAGCGGCGGCACTGAACGCGGATCCACAACAGAACCAGAATACACACACACACACACACACACCAGACACACGTCAGCAGCGTCTTACGTCAGCGGCGGCACTGAACGCGGATCCACAACAGAACCAGAAAACACACACACACACACACACACCAGACACACGTCAGCAGCGTCTTACGTCAGCGGCGGCACTGAACGCGGATCCACAACAGAACCGGAACACAATACAATGCTGAATAAAGTCCTAGTTTTTGTTATTTTTGGACCAAAATGTATTTTCGATGCTTCAAAACATTCTAACTAACCCACTGATGTCACATCATTATTATTATACTTTAATATGGTGTATGAAGTGCGATGCTCATGCGTCCTGTGTGTGTGTGTGTGTGCAGTCAGAAGGGCAGAAGCTGGGTCTGGTGGGCTGGGTGCAGAACACCGACGCCGGGACGGTCCAGGGCCAGATCCAGGGTCCGGCTAGTAAAGTCCAGCAGATGCAGCGCTGGCTCCGCACCACCGGCAGCCCGCAGTCTCGCGTCGCCAAAGCAGAGTTCAGGAACGAGCGCGCCGTGGATAAACTGGATTTTAAGGACTTCAAAGTTGTTCGTTAATGACAGAACAACTCAAGTAGTATTTATTTACATGTACTATTTATTTTAGTGTTTCATTTTTTTTTTTTTTTTTGTGACCTATTGCCTGTTACTGGTATAAATATGAGGGAAAACACCTTTATATACCAGCTTCTCCCAGATTTCTGTAACACTCACAGCTAATATAATAGACTCCACCCCTGAACTCGAGTGTGTTTGTGTTTTATAATGGCTCGGCGTGTGTCATCCACACTGTTAATTTCACCTTTTTACTAAGGTTTATATATCAGTAAACCATATTCCTAGATCTTCCCAGCTGTGTAAACATGATGAGATTTATCCAAAGTTATGTGAAATCTGCAAATTAAATGTTTTAAAGTCCTGTAGTCAATAATTTTATCCCTTAAAACTCATATTTAATCACCAAAATGACACATTTAAACTTTTTCCTTGTAAAAAAAGTCTTCATGCCTTAAAATATCTTGAACGTAACTCGACACCCTTGCCTCATTTAGTATGTGTGGTTCTATGAATATGCAAATGAGCCCCGCCTCCACTCACTCACTCAGCTCAGAGATCCACTGGTTGACGATCACACGTTGATCTGATTGGTTACAAGGTCGTTTGTGACGTCAGAAACACCAGCGATTTCAAACCGTGTTTTTGAGACTGTCTTTGGTTCACTGCAGTTTTAAGCAGAAATTACTCAGCAATGCTGTCGACTTATGAATTTACACATGGTGCGTCTTAAAGCGTTTTAAAAACACCACATACACACCTAAACAACATTAAAAGCTGGATTTACACCACAGAGGGACTTTTAAAATACCGTGTATCACAATAATATCAACAAAAGATGAATAAAAAAGTAGGTTGTAAGTGTTTGTCCTTCAACAAATAAACAAAACTAACCTTGCCAATATTTTCACTGGACCAAAAAAATATATAATTTAATTTAAAAAAATGAATGTCACATTTAATACATTTTATATGTCAGGAAGTAATACATTTTTATTAAACATCATTTTGCACAGTAATAAAAGGCCTGCAATAATAGTTAAATTGTAAAATTATAACGCTATAAATTATTCGTTTGAGGTTTAGACTCTAGATGTTGGGCTCTTCAGAACAATAAAACGTGAAACAATAAAATGTGATTTTGTAACATCATCATAGTGGACTTTATTTAAGCAAATGTAATATCACTCACTTTATTAATGTTTTTCTCTACATTTGTGCAGTGTTGGGGGGAGGGTTAAGGTATTTTTTTGAATGTATATGAATATTTTTTTATAAAAAAATGATTTACTGTATATAAAAAAGGTTTTTAAAACTAAAATAACGATGAACTACGGTAGAAGTCTTCAAAGCAGCTCTCGATGGCTCGTTTGCCATTTCCTCATGGGTATACATCTTTTCAAAGTTTTTTGTTTATTTATTTAAATTTAGATTTATGTTTAGACATTCTAAAACAATTATTATAACAATAAAAAATTATTTTTTTGTACTGAAGTATAATTTTTTACAATTATGACACATTATTACAGTCAACCTGAACATAGTAAATATGTGTTTTATGTGTGTATGTTGTGTGTGTTTGCATGTGTTCTCCATCGTGGATGTGTTGTGGTGTCACTCCATCATTTGTGTGTGTGTTAGCAAATGTATTTTTGACAAATTATGTAACAGAGAGCAACTTATGGCAGCCCATTTTTCATTTCTTATGAGTGATTTTGTGTGTGTTGTGTGTGTTTACTCCATCAGGGATGTGTTGTGGGATCACCCCTTCATTTTGTGTGTTTTCTGCATTGTAACACATTTTTTTATTATAATGTAACAAAAAGCAATTTTTATAGTCTTTCATTGATGTCTATGAAAAAAAAATATTTTAAATTTATATAAATAAATAAAAAATCCCTAAATCTTAAATTCCCTAAACACTGCACAAATTAAGAGTAAAAACATTTAATAAAGTGGGTTTTTTTCACAATAACAAACAACCAGATATTCCAATTTATTTTATGGTTTGTAGAGCTAGCAAATGTCAACCACCTCTCAAGTTTCATGCTGTGTAGATGAAGGGGGAATTTATTAATTTCAGAAAATGTCATTTAGGGGTCAAAAAGACCCAGAATAGCTTACAAGGCTTTAATAGAGACCATTCTGATAGAAAAAGATGGCATACAGCGATTTGTGTATCACTTTCAATGGATTCGAACTGATGCTTATAGCAGAATCATTATCACATGCTTTTATCAGAACACTTGTTAGATGGTGATCTAAATTATGTCTTAAAACATATTTTTTCATTGACAAAACAAGTTGTGTAAACAGTATGATTCATATTCCACATATGCAGACATAGCTGATGCATGATGCACATGATGAGGAATGGGTTTTAAATTTAGTTGTAAAAGGCACACAAAAAAAATCTCTCTCTCTTTCTCTCTCTCTGAAATTAAATTCAGATTTTGGCTGAAGGTGCGCCATGACGTGACACTATCCATAAAACACCCCTCTCCATGATTCTTTGCTCTTCTGCCATGTTTCACATGTACATTGACCTGGGTGTCTGGTATTCTCCCAGAAGCAAGTCTCCAAGAAGAATGAATGTATTGTGAAAGAGCCAAACATTCCAGGAAATGAATGTTCCCCACCCTCGTCTCCTTCCAGAGCAGAGACCGGTTTATTTCTACAGCAGCTTTTCAAGGCCCATCCACACACACATCTCTATTAACCGAGACCGAGTCCTTCTGATGACGTACACCACTGCTGGAGAACGGCTGAAGCTTGTGCTTATACGGGCTGGATATACAGGCAAGCCAACATGTGTTCAGACACCTTCAACATTTCTCACATTATCACGGTTTTTCACTGTAATAAAATATGGGCAGAACTCAGATTTCTCAGATCAGTGGATATTTGACTGGTTTTGTCCGTCCTTCTGTTAGACTCTCACACATGAATTATGTTGAATATCTGTCAGCTGTTCAATTTAACTACACAATTAGATAATACCAGTTTAGCTCAACCAGTGACCAAGCAATGCTTCATGTTGTTCAGTCTGTGTGTAAAAAGAGCATTAGCAATTACAGAAAACACATGATCAGCTCAAAGTGGAGGAATCATTTTTAGTCCCAAATGTTTATAAATGTCACTGGTAGTCACTGTATGAAGAATATTTGGGTATAATATGTCACAGTTTACTTTATTTTGTTCTCCTCACTTACATAAATGATACATACATAAATATCAAAAATTATATCTGATCTTATATATCATGCTGTTTTGTTGTGCAATATTTTAGGTGGTATTAATGGTGTCCGACCTGCCTTTAATACCTGCAGTTAATACACAGAAGAATTAATTAAACTGCGGTTCTAATACTGTTTTTAAACCATCAGTTGTTTCTTTAAAGTCACAATGAAGACAGAATGTCACAGTGCTTATTATAAATGATTTATCCATGCACATCATTAAGTCCCCCTGTGGTGAAAATCCAGCTTTTAATGTTGTTTATGTGTGTATGTGGTGTTTTTAATATGCTTTAAGACACACCATGTGTAAGTTCATAAGTCGACAGCATTGCTGAGTATTTTCTGCTTAAAACTGCAGTGAACCAAAGACAGTCTCAAAAACACGGTTTGAAATCGCTGGTGTTTCTGACGTCACAAACGACCTTGTAACCAATCAGATCAACGTGTGATCGTCAACCAGTGGATCTCTGAGCTGAGGGAGTGAGTGGAGGCGGGGCTCATTTACATATTCATAGAACAGCGAATACTGAATGAGGCAAGGGTGTCGAGTTACATTCAAGCTATTTTAAGGCATGAAGACTTTTTTTTCAAGGAAAAAACTTTTAAATGTGTCATTTTGGTGATCAAAGATGAGTTTTAAGGGATACCATTTTTAAATACAGGGCGACTTTAAAAATTCATGTGCATGCGTAATCTTTAATCAAAACCTTTAACCTTCCCTTCCCCTTGAAACGACATCTGGGCTGCGTCCGAAAACGTAGGCAGTGACTTAAACAGTGTTACTGTTTAATGATCTACTACAGCAAAATAGAGCGAGCTTTGGTGAAAGCTGAGAGAATATTATTTAATGACTACAATAGTAATTTGTCACTAGAAATAACATCATAAGTGAAAAACGTTTATCAAAAATTTTCGTTTATACACAAACTGACGTCCAGCCGCAACTTTCAGACACCATCTTTATTTTTCTAGCTTATCTGTCACAGAATGGAAAGCACAGGAGTTTGGGATATCAAAGGCAGTGAAATATACATATCAAGCGGGGGTGTTTTATTTTTACAACCTAAACAGAAACTTCCCAGAACGTTCCCTGCAAGTTATTTTTAGATTTTATTTTTATAACATGTAAATGAATTAAAACGTTGCAGATGATACCAATAGGCTACAGAGGTTATTCTAATGCTGAAATTTGTAATTTATTTATAAACATACTATATAATGCTTAGACACCCTCGGTCTGTCTCGCACATTGTCGAGCGCACTCGCAGTGTTCGCTTAACTTTTGTCCAGTCCGGCGCCTCAAACACACACACACACACACACCAGAGAAAAAACTTTGCAGGTCCTATGGCTCAGAGAGAGCCTACTCGGATGAAAAACGCTTCAGTGAGCTCAATTATAGTAACGCCGCATTAAATTGTCAGTAAAGGTAACGCCGTTGTAACGGGGGAAACAGTAATTCGTTTGATTACTTACTGAAAAAGATAATGCCGTTATTAACACAGATTATTTATAACGCTGTTATTCCCATCACTGCTTATTACTAACCAGGGGTTTGTTTCCCAAAAGCATCGTTAGCAAACTATGGTCGCAAGTTCCAATGAACTCCATTGGTAACAACATCAAATCGGTTTAAAAATGTATGTATCCAATTCATTTAAAGGTTTTAAACTCGAGGTAAATTCTTTTTTAGGATTTTTTTTTTGTATGTGTGTGTGACTTGTATGCTGCAACCAAATTGTCTTCGGGAAATGAATAAAGATGAACTGAACTGAACAGAAACGACAGCCCCAGTTTGACTTTATTTCTGACATGAATCTACAGAAGCTCTTAGTAAGAAATAATAAAGAATTAGATGTTGATGTTTTTTTGAAAATGTCTGGTTACCATTATGGTAATCAGTGTTTGCTTTAGTTGCATGGGCAACTAATCTTTGATTTCTGTGTAT